ATGTTATTTCCATCCTCACCTTTAAACCTATTTTTGATTCGTTCACCCAGACAACATTGAACCCCGAACAGTTCATACCAAAAATTTATAAAAAAATATTATTTAAATGATTGTTTTGTAATATTTAAAAAACTCGCAGCCTGTATTTATGTAGGAAAGAGTAACTTTACAATGTAATTAAATAACGTTTGTTTATATAGAAACTGGTTTGGTGGATCTCTTCATATCCTTGAAGCTTTATACCAATCTCGAAATACTTTCTGTTGCCATTTTTTTATGAATAATTCAGTCACTTGATTATTCTACGGTTATAAGAAACAGTAAATGCTAATCAATATTCTGATATATTTCCGTTTTATGTAGTATCACAGGTAGTATTAAAATTCTTATAGTCGCTTAATAGGGTAAATGGTGAATACCATTTGAATAGTAAAACGTTTTTTAACTTTTTCATCTTATTTTAAACCAATTTTTTTTACAACGGTCGAAATGTTAGTTTGTAAAATTTATAAAAATATCCGGTAGACATACTTAAATATGTTTATTTTATTTAAGCGTGATAAATTTATTATTAATTTGATATCACGTTGATATTCCTTTTTTTATAGTTGTGAATTAGTGAATTACTCTTAATTTAGATTAAGGGTACTGTTTATTACTTACTAAAAATAGTAAAAATACTGACTCTATATAAATTGTCTGCTTGGATATAAAATGAATATTATTAGACATAGTCTTTCATAAAAAAGTACGAATTGGGGTTGTTGTTTTGAACATTTCTGTTCAAAAACAAGTCGTCAGTGAAACGTGATAACCTGCTAACTCCATTTTTTATGTTAATAAGTTTTTTTATACCATTAGAAAGAGAAAAAAATACTCTATAAGTAGGAAAAGCAAAAGAAATTTTTCCCATTAAAGAAAATTTGCTATTTTAACTCAATAATATCTGCTAACTCCCAGTGATCTGAAATAGCCACCGAAATACTGCTATCTCCGTAATTTCCGTTACGATCACGCTGAAGCAAATACGCGAATTCTTTACTCTATGTTTCTTTAGTACAGTACGTCGATCCAGGGTCGGACTAGGCCAAAGGGGTGGCAATGTAAGGAGGAGCCCGTGTGGATTTTTTTGGCGTATTTTTTCGCCTCACGTTTTGGTCAATTTTTCTCTGTTATATACAGGGTGAGTCTTAAATAAGTGCAAACATTTTTAGGGGTAGTATATTTCGACCCAAGAAACACGAGTATGAGGTTTTTTGCGCGAATTTTTTTCCTTGAAAATTTGGAATTTTTTAAAAAAAAAAATTTGGAATTTTTCGGTTGTTTTGGATTTATTTGAAAAAACAGTAAAGAGAAAATATTGTTTCTTTTATCGAGATTTACCAGACCTGAAAATATTTGCACTTATTTAATACTCACCCTGTATAGAAATCAGGAAACTACGCTAATGGAAGGTAAACCAATGCAATGCAGATGCCATAATGCAATGCAAAAGCAAATATTGTTAAGAATAAATAATGAACTATAAAGGGGGCCCGCGAAGGCTGGCGCCCCCTTAATAGTTATATATATATATATATATATATATATATATATATATATATAATATGGCCAGTCCGACCCTGCGTCGATCCGTTTTGTAAATACTGGGTATCCGTAAAGAGTAAGAAAAACGAAATTCTCTATATACGAGCAATTCATCGGCTTGCTATAAAGTTTTATGTTTTAATAAATAACCATTACTTACTTGTACAAGAATTTCCATAATACCTTCAGTTTTATATTTTTCAACGTTTTTCCACGTAAATGGTACATAATCTTTATAAAAATTTAAAAAAATAAGGAGAAAAGTAATAAAAATTTAATAAAATCACGCTGTTTTCATCCTATAATGACCGCACTGTTTTCCAAGCTCGGTCTAGACACTATCGTTGTAAAAAAATTAGGATAAGCATGGACCTACCATATCTTCTAAGAATTATAAGTTTAATTTTTAAATTATTTTCATATTCATTAAGTCCAAAATGCTGCTACTTCAGTTCTTTAAAAATGCATTAAAAATTTATTCGTTTTTTGGATTTGTATGTTTTGCTTCTAGACCGACGATATTATAAAGGCTGTACTTAAACTGCCGTTAAACGGTAGCTTACTAAAATGCCGTTAATAGGTATGACGTCGTTGATGTGACGCACTTGACGGCTTTATCAAATATAGGAATTTTATAAGGACTAACCAACGCTATCCACCCCACGAAATAACCAACTTAACCAACGCAACTAACCTCGACACTGATAAAAAATATAAAAAACAAATATAAATTAGTAAAAATCAATCAACCCCACCAAATAACCAACTAACCAATGAATTAACACCCTCCAAATAACTACGCTAACTAACCCGCCAAATAACTAAACCAATCCAACCAAAAAGAGTGAAACCAATGCAATAAGATCACGCTATAAGCAAAAAAAAATATAAAAAAGCTTGGTCGGCGTGAGATTTGAACCACGGACCATTCGCTTACGAAGCGATAGCCTCAGCCACTGACCCACAGGTGCTCTTGCAAAATGCTTAAGGCTAGGCATTACTTTCCGCCGACATGAACGACGTCACAATATCTATTAACGGCATTTTAGTAGGCTACCGTTTAACGGCTGTTTAAGTACATCGTATTATAAATATATGGTTATGAATATCACCTGTTTGGGTAATCCATTTTCAAAATTTCAAACAATAAAGGTTGCTATCTCCAGAAATATATTTTTATTTCTTATTTCTGCAAGACGAATCTGCTATCTCCCTATTGTGTCTGAAAAAAATTATGTAACACGAAATATTGAGTTTTATTGTTCCCCAGCAAATAAAATTCTTATCTCTTTATCATATTAACGCACGAAAATACTTCCTACATGTGTACATATTTTTTTGTACCGTTTTTTTGCTCTCCTGTAAAATTAGGAATAATGGAGTTAGCAGTTTATCACATTTCACCGACGAAGTGATTTAATTTTTATGAGGGTTCTGTACCCAAAGGGTAAAAACGGGAACCCTATTACTGACTTCGCCGTCCGTCCCTCCGTCCGTTTGTCACAATCTTAAGAACTATCTAAGGTCTATCTTAAGAACCGTTATAGCTAGACAGTTAAAATTTTTACAGATAAATGTATCTATGTTGCCGCTATAAGAACAAATACTAAAAACAGAATTAAATAAATGTTTATCAATAAAAAAGTACTTTCACTAAACATTATCTTTTAAGTATGAATTTTACATAGAATCTTTCAAGTCCTCGGTGGCTACGTGGTTAAAGCGTTAGGACTTTACGCTGCTATGACGTTTGGAGACGTAGTAAGGCAGGTTCGAATCCTAGTGAAGGCGACTTTTTTTTAATCGTTTTTTTTAATTTTTACATATTTTTACATATTTATTTTTACTTTTTACATATTTATTATTGATTAATACAATTTTTAGTAATGTGTTTCTTCATTTTTTTTTAAATTACTTATACGCGCATTCAAAATTTCAACTAAATCGGAAAAGATTTATAATAATATGGTGTCTAATGTTGTATACAAAGGTTGTATAGTATAATGAATGAACCCTTCGTGCGCGAGTCCGACTCGCACTTGACCAATTTTTTTTTTGTATTCTCGTCTCTCCTCTATAGAAGTGGACCGACTAACCCTTGCGGTGTAATTGACCTCAAATCCAAGGGGGCAATAGAGAAAGAGGGATATATCCTCTATTATAAATTCGGGACAATACCGGTATCAGGTCTAAGGAGAGACCAAGTTAAAGAGGTGGAGAAAATTGAGATCCTCCAGCCTCCACCTCACGGGTACCTCAGCCGGAGAGGAGCTCCTCGGCTGTGAAGAGCACGGAGGGCTAAACCTCAACCGTGGAAGAGTGTATACCTTCGTAGGAGGTAGATACCCACTCATCGGAGGATGAACATCTGTTGTAGTTGTAGGAAGGGAAATACCCTGTCCCCCCTACAGCAGGAAGATCCTCAAGTATGATGAGTTATAGGCTGTATGCTATAATACAAGAAAGGGGGATACAATAAACCCTTAAGGCCGCGGTGATTACCCCCCTCCCTCTTACTCTTTCTACATGTAAAATTATATAGGGAATGTCAACGATCGTCATTTCCAAGCCACGGTACATTTCACAAGTTTATGTATTATTTTACCAATGAATATTATTTTTCTTTGTAATGTTTATCTGTGTCGTCTCTACTGAAGTAACGACTTGCTCTAGAAAGTTGCTTTTTTTGCTGAAAATAGTTAATTGACTCTTATAAAAACTGCGTATTTTTTGTTTTTCATTTAATTTAAAAAAAAGTATTTTTTTCCTTATGTCGTAGCGGATGCGCCAGGCTTCAGCTAGTAAAATAATTTTCATAAAGAAACATCAAAATTTATTGCTAAAATTTCAAAATAACCTACTTTCTATTGCCTACGATACTGGTGTTTTGGAGAATACAAATAGATATTAATTTTTTGTTACTTGAAAACATAAGCAAATTACAGTCAAAAACAAAAGAATTAAAAAAAAATACATAATTAATAATTAACAACAACACTAACTATCATAACTACACTAAAAAATTGTAGATTTTTCCATAAGTTTCAATAGCTGAAACATTAAAATTTTCTCACTCTGTACACTGCAAAATTACATGTATTGCATCATCTGTTTCCCGCTTAAATCAGATTAGAGAATCATTTTCGGATTCAGAGAATCAATTTTCAGAGAATCATTTTCGGATTCAGTAAAATTTGAATGTTGAAAATATTACAATAAACGAAAAACAATATGTAACTACGTCATTTCTAATTATGATAAAAATATGAATTATTAATATATTTTCATTCAATGAATATATTATAAACAAATAACCTAATTACACAACGCAACTAAAATCATTGAATTATAAGTGAAAGTATGAGCATGATTCAATGTTTTTGTTCGTAAATTTTAATAAAGAAATAACTCACCAACAATTGTGCCTACAATCAAAGCAACACCGTTCCACAGTGTGATTTTTCTCTTCAATTTAGGAGATTCATTCACAGGCGTCAAACCGTTAGCCGTATCACTATTATTCGAAACATTATTACTCGAACCCATATTTAAGGGTTAATTACTGTATTTTAACTTAATTCAACCCCGTATTTTACTCATAATCTCAATTTTTCTACCCGTAAAGCCACGCACCATGTGCTTTGGACGCGCTACAACGTAACGCCGATGTTATTTGATCCAAAAACGCGACTCCCATACGATTTCCAGCGCCCGTGTGCCATATTTTTCAGGCGCACCACGATTTTACCGACGCACGTTTTCACAACAATTTTCAGCGCAAACTCGCGCAACTGTTCCTCCTGCGGCTCCTGCGATGTGCTTTCCGTTTCAATCGCGGTATTGATTAAAACGAAATAGACGATGGCATTGGCGTGTGTTCTAGATTAGCAGGTTTGTATAGGGTGTATGTTTTATCTGTGGTTTGATGCTGTGGCACACAAAAGTTACGAAACTTAGGTTTTCAAATATTTACATATAAAGCGTTTTTGTTCATTAGAAGAAGTTATAAAAAGCAGGTGGGTCGTGCTTGGTTCTTGGAGTGCACCAAGCGTAAAACCTCAAGATGAAATTATTTTATTTAGGTTTATTAGACGAATGTGAAAGTATAGCGCATTAAAAAGTATAACCGTAAAAACAACTTAACTTTGTTGAATATTGTAATCGTTACGTTGTTGTAATGATGTAGATGACCAAAACGACAAGTACTTGTTCGAAGTACCAAAAAGGACGTAAATTGTGGACGTAAATTGTGAATTATTTTTTCTTTATTTTGTTACGATTACTTGCGCTTTATGAATAAGTCTGTCAACAACTTACTTACTTACTTACTGCCATTACTCACTGACGAATATTTGATACGCATCAGAAGATGGTCACGCAAGGCGTTTTCTTTCATGAGCTTTTCTGTGACTGAAAAGCCTGATACGTGATGTTATCTCTCTTCCGCACTCCGGACATTCATAAATCTCATTACTTTGTTGCCTCTTTACTTTTTGGTTGTCGTTAACATAGTTTGAAAGCCGGGGGAATTCCGCGCACATAAGCAAAATAGCTCCTAGATTGATGTTAATTTTTTTTATGAGATAATTTTTTGTATGAGGAGTATTGATACAATATACAAACTATTGCAACATTGAAAATTAAACATTTTTGTTTTGTTGTAGGGGAGAACCGGGTAGCCCCGCTCAAGGGGTAACCCCGCCCATTGTGTTTTTATCCTAACGACTCCTGTATTCCTAGCGGCATCTATCGTCAAGTGCACATATTAAGGCAAAAGAAAGATTTGCGGGACAAACGCGCCATTATTTCAACTTTTCGCGGTCAGTCCACTGAAAACGTTCAGAGTGGTAGGCCGGTATAGGTTATGTGTAATTTTCAGAACACCGTAAGTGAACCAAATTTTTATTAAATAGATATGTTTATATAACCAAAGTGAAGATAATAACCAATTTTTACTAATGACCAGGAGAGTGAAATAGTGCAACATTGCATATATTCAAAAATGTTTTACGGGCTGACCCCAACCGACTTAAGAAAACTTATATTTCAATACGCCGAGTCAAACTCGATCACCCACCGTTTTAATACAACTAAAAGAATGGCGGGAAAAGACTGGTTTGGTGCCTTTATGAAGAGAAATCCACACATTAGTCTTAGAAAACCGGAGGCAACAAGCTTAGGCAGAATTTCTGGATTTAATCAAGAAAGTGTTGCTTTATTCTACAAGAATCTTGGCAGTACACTTGAAAAGCTTCAAATTGGACCTCATCGGATCTATAACATGGACGAGACGGGTATTACCACCGTACAAGCTCCGACCAAAGTGATTGGCCCAAAAGGCACCAAACAACTTGGGAAAGCGGTTAGCTATGAACGTGGGCGGAATATTACTGTATGTGGCTGTATCAGTGCATTAGGTTCTTTTATTCCACCTATGTTCATATATCCTAGGGAAAGGATGTCAGATCAGCTAAAAAGAAATGGCCCAGTTGGTGCAAAATACACCTGTTCTTCGAAAGGATGGATAACAGAGGGGTTGTTTGTTGAGTGGCTCCATCATTTTAAGCTGCATACTGCTTGTTCTATTGATTGTCTTCTTCTGTCGTGCAAATGGTATTACTGTATTATCTTTCCCACCTCACACGAGCCACAAGCTTCAACCTTTGGATCTCTCTGTTTACGGTCCTTTAAAAAAATCATATTCAAACGAGTGCTCCACTTTTATGAGACAAAATCCCCACCAAAAGATTACCCCATATGATGTGGCAGAAATATTTAATAAGGCATTTGTAAAGATCGCGAGAATAGAAAAAGCCCAAAAAGGATTTCAAGTTAGTGGAATTTGGCCTTATAACCCATCGATATTTAGCGAAGATGATTTTCTCCCAGCAACTGTTTCTAGAACCAATGTAATAACTGATGTAGGTCAGCCTCAAATTGTCAGCAGGGGCGGTGTTATTAATTTTGAAGCAAGCACCTCCAAAGCATCTACGGATCAGCTTAAAAATATCAGTATCTCCGAAGCTTCTGGCCAGAAAAGATACGTGGAATTTAAAGAATTATCACCAATTGTCAACACCAACAATAAAGGCCTAGTTACAAAAAAAACTAGAAGCTCAATTACATCTAAAATATTAACAGCCACACCAGAAAAAGAATATCTGGAACAAAAAGAGTTGAAGAAGAAAACAAAAAATAAAAATTCTAAAAGTAAGAAGCAGAAGACTAAATTACATGTAAGAAGAGGTGTGGAAAAAATTAAAAAGAAAGTGTTTGAAGAATCTAGTTCTAGCGAAGTATCTATCGAAAACATATGCGATGACAACAGTTCCGACGACATGGAAGACTTTATGGAAGATGCAATGTGCATAATCTGCAATGAGTTCGGGAAAACGGAACTTTGGTTCCAATGTGGACTGTGTAAAAAGTGGGCACACAAAGATTGTACGGGCCAAGATGGTTCCAAGCCCTATATTTGCGATTTTTGTTTGTAGTATACCTTAATAATAAACATAAATGATTAATTTGTTACAGAATATGTTCGATTGTGTTTATTTATACTTTCTGAATTAATATTAAGGCTCTTGAGCGGCGTTACCCGATATGATGAGACGGGTGGGCGGGGTTACTAACCCTGTCGGGTACCCCGTCCAAAGCAGACTTTTTTAAAAATTGCATAATTTCAATGAAAACACTTTTTTTCTGTCAGAATTAGCACATGCTCAGAAAAACAATGGACCAAAGAAGTGCATACACTATTGAATCGAAAGATAAGTGTCACGGATCATTTTTAAAACCTATATAAGCTTAAGTGGGCGGGGCTGCCCGGTTCTCCCCTACCTATTAACACAAAAAAATAAAAATGTGTGACTGCGCGATATTACCATTATTATTATTACGCATTGAGGTATTTTAAGGCAGTTTAACTAAGACTTTATTATACATAAAATACAGGTATATAGATAACACAAATAATAAAAAAGATGATAGTGAGAACAAAAGTAAAGATACATTATTGTATATTAACATAAAAAACACATTAGATATTTATATAAAAAATAAACTGTTACCTAGCAACAGTAGTCACAAAGGTAGATTTTTTCTTTCTCCTTTCCACTACAGCATGGGCCCACTTTGAGCAGGAATTACAGCGATACCAGACCTCGTTGTCCCTCCAAACTATCCGCAAATTAAACAGATATCATCTTCATGGGTTGGGAAAGGATCAACTTCGTCTAAGTCATCATCAACACAAAGCTCGCTTTCAGAATAACTCTCAGGTCGTCACCAAACTTAATATTACGAATGTGCTTTGGCTTCTTGTTGATTTTTTTACTTTCTAAAGATGTTGAGAGTTTTCTTTTTTTTAATACAATATTTGCTTCTCTTTTCTGCCTTTTGTTTCTTCTCTTTTCCTTCATACATTACTTGCTTCTTTTTTTCTCTTTTCTCTCTTCTTTTTTCTTCCATAGTTTCCAAATCGATTTAAGTGCATCCGCTGACCATTTGCCTTTCTCTGATGCCCTTTGGTATGTTCTGGGCATCATAAACTAAAAAAATCAAGCTATAAAAAAATAAACAAGAAGAGTGTACATTTGGGGAAATACCGCGCAGAGCGTTATTGTTTGTTTTGTTTTTGCGCGGTATATCCCCGGGAGCCGTTTTTTACCTAAAAATTTATTTTAGCAAAAGTACTTACATTTTATTGGTGATCGCTTGCGATAACACTTATAGGTGCACTGGTAAGTGAAAATAAAATCAAGCTGCTTTTAATAATCACAGGAACTACTAATTATCAACCGATTAAATTGCCGAAAAGATAGGTGAAAACCCCATCTAGCACTAAAATGTTCGTTATTGGTTAACGACTGCCGGCAATTATTCCAAACTTTTGGAGCAAACTTTATATGGCTTATGCAACACTTCCAGCCTCACACCTGTGTATTACTAGTTGTAGTTTTTTCTACAGCGGCGTGCGCGGTATTCCCCCGTGCGCGAGATTCCCCCGGTTTCCCAACAATTCTCCTCCATTGCGTTCTATTGTGCGCTGCTTCCTCCCACTGATGCTGCATACTTATCCCCTTTAAGTTTTCATGGAAAAATATCTTTGTATCTTTTGATTTGTCCATCCGGTTTCCTCTTACCCTCTACAAGCTCACCGTAAAGAAGAGATTTCGGTAGGCGGTTTTCTTGCATCCTGCATACGTAGCCAGCTCATCTTAAGCGGGATTTAGTAATTATGACGTCAGCGCTCTCGCAGCTTGCTTTTTCAAGGACTGATACGTTTGAGACATGGTGGTACCCTTAACAGTTTTCTAAGGTTGCGACTTGTTTAATGCGCGGTGAATAAATAAATAGTAAATCGTGTGTCACCAAACCAAACCAAACCAAATCGCATATTGATATCTGTTACCGTTTCGGAGTTACGGGGTGTTTTTAAAAAATATGCATTTTTAACAAATCGCTGTAACTTTTTTGCTATGAAAAAATTTGTATTTTTATGAAAACATTTCCAAAGCACCTTTTTACGTAGAATTTAATGGTTTAAGTATAATTTTTTTAAAATTAATAATTTAAGAATTATCAACAGAAAATTTGATTTTTTATATGGGACACCCTGTATATTTTTAATTTATTGAAAAGAATTTAAAATTACCTTTCCAAAAATATAACACATTTGATATTTTGCTCGATTCTTCTTCGAGATATAGAGTATATAAAAATTCGCCCGCTTTAAATAAGTAGGCTTTGAACGGTACCGGCTGTAATGCAAAAAAATTCTAGCTGTGAGCATCAATTGAAACGAAAATAATATTTGCTATGAGAGATGCAGAATTATATAACAATTTAAAATATATTTAACCAACATCAACACATTTAAACTATGTATATCTAATAACAATAAAAATAAATAGCAAACCAAGACATGAGATTTTGCTACAGATGTTCGACATATCGAGCGTCTTCTGTTATGGATAGACGGAGCAGTTTTTGAACATTTCTCGCGGAATTCATTAACTCAGTGGGGGTGAAAGATACCCTCTCATAACTGCTAAGTGTTTCTAATTCTTGTCTAGATTATACGGAAGAATAAGGAACCTTTATTCTTCCGCAAATATATCCATATGATTAGATCCATGAGCACTAAGTCAGGCGGCCTCGACGGCCAACAGCTTGAATCTTGGTCTATTCAATTATTCTTGAAAAATTTGCTGATAACTTCAGCGTTCAGAGACGGTGCGTCGTCTTGCTGTAAAAATATGTTTTCGAGTTCCATTAAGGGCATATCATCAATAAGGAGTCCAAAGCCTACTAGTTAAAAGTAGCGAACTTTTAAAAATTCTGTATTTCGAAGGGGATTATAACAAAATATCAAGTATGCTATATTTTTGGAAAGGTAATTTTAAATTCTTTTCAGTTAATTAAAAATATAGAGGGTGTCCCAAATAAAAAATCATTTTTTCTGTTGATAACTCTTAAATTATTAATTTTAAAATAATTATACTTAAACCATTAAATTCTACGTAAAAAGGTGCGTTGAAAATGTTTTCATAGAAATACAAAATTTTCCATAGCAAAAAAGTTACAGCGATTAGTTAAAAATGCACGTTTTTGAAAAACACCCCGTATCTCCGAAACAGTAACAGATATTGATGTGCGGTTTTCACCATCATGTTTTTGATGAAAATTGAGCTCCAGACATCGATATTAGTTTTCGTCTATCTCCTATAGAAAAGGGTGTTTCCATTTAAAAGCTTCGAATTTGACCCACCCTGTACAGTTCATCTCACAACGGGAAATGGGTATACCTAAAACTTTCAACTACCTTTAATTTCCCCTTTAAAATAAAGCCCATGTACCGAGTTAGGGAAGAATATCGTCAGACGACAACAATGAAAGAAAATATACTTTGCTTATTAATTAAAATGACAGACAACCAGTGGCGGCTCGTGAACCGTGTGACTGGGTAGGCGATAAAATTTTAGTTGCGTCTATTTAGCGCAAAGATATTTGACTATGTATATTGCCGTTTTTATTAACATATCGAATTGAAATAGCACACTGAGACTTTTCTGTAATATCTGTTGTATCGTCTTCTTGCACCAAATAAAATAACGCGCTTTTTTATTTCGGATTATTTTATTTCTGTGGCGTGTTCTGAAATACAACCGGTTATATCATTTTGAATAATCCCGGACAAGCCCGAAAAAATGTTTCCAATTTGCTTTAAACGTTTTTTTTTTAATTTTCATATAAAAGGTTTAAATGCTACGTATAATGAATCATATGAAATATCCCCGTAACGAAATGTGATATATCCCCTTATGGAATATCGGGAATATCCTCTTAACTTCTAAGCCTACCGAGCCTCCACGACTTCATGTGAAGGCGACCGGAGATTTCGCCTAAGCCCCGCCTTAATACGATACAACTCCGACTTACGTCACGTCGCTACCTGTCGGCGCTCTGCACCGCCACGAAATTCGATACTGCTCGAAGCAATTCCAAAAAACAACTAGTATGGGTTATGGATGGAAAACATATTATTTCGACAACTATCGATACAGGCGGCGAGATACAACAGACAACGGAGTGGGGAATGCGCTACGGCGCGGCGAACGTAGCTGCATCGGTCGATGGTTGTGTGGGGCTTGCAACAGCTTAAAAATAATAGGATAAAAAAGAAGCAGCTTTTTTGAAACAGTTGCGGGCATAACGCCTGGCGGTCGAGATAACAGGAGTGGGAAAGGAATGCTGCTGCATCGGTCGATTGTCGATGGAAGCTCGCAACGGCTTGGAGAAGCAGTCATTTTAGATACGTTGTTTTTTAACCTGTTACGAGCATAACAAAGCGGCGGTCGAGATAATCGGAGTAATGGACACTGAAAGTGGCAACAATAAACAGAATGAAGTCGTCAAAATGTGCTAAGAGTATCCTGGGGCCGTGTTATAAATGAAAACATTCTCAGAAGAGCTGGTCTAGAAGAACGTGAACTCTTCGAAATCGTACCTCTGTCTCTGTTCATATTGTCTTTACATTTATTTATTTTGACGCTCTTATACGGGGTGCGTCTCAAAAGTGGCTCACCCTATAACTTTTTTATTTTTTTTAGATAAAAAAACGAGATCTGAGGCCCGATTCTGTAAACATATTTCCTGTCTAGTGACTCATCAATCGTATACAAATAGCATAGGCTAGACAGGAAATTTCTTGCTACGGAGCTGACAGAATACCGCAGCTGTTATATTAGTATACATGGCACCCTCGGTATATTTCTACTTTATTCGATAGAAAATTACTAATACAGTCTATTTGAAATGGTAACATGCGGTTCATAACGACAATTTGACTCGAAATACCAAGTATGTAGTACCAAATTATTCGTAAAAAATGCTTTTTCAAAATATACTAATGAGCCACCCTTGTTCCATTTGAAAAATTGAGATATGATTAAAAATACGATTTGGGCATCTTTTAATCGGTAAGGAGAAGACTCGAAAAATATTATACGATCAAATTTAATTTTTCCAAGGCTCCTTGATTAAAAATTAGTGTTTTTAACACATCCATATGGATGTATGGCACTCTAGATTAGATTGAAACTTAAAATACGATTTTTTAAGCAAAAATGTCAAAAGTTGACATGACAAAATGTCAAATGACATATCACACATATGGAGTCAAATTGTCGTTATGAACCGCATGTTACCATTTCAAATAGACTATATTAGTCATTTTCTATCGGATAAGGTAGAAATATACCGAGGGTGCTATTTAAAAATCAAAAGTTGTTGTCATTTCCGGTGAAACAGGAAGTGACCAAAAACAATTGAATACGTCAATCAATCCTAATTTATATCATATACCAAATCTCGTTTTTTATCTGAAGAAATTAAAAAGTTATAGGGGTAAGCCAGTTTCGAGACTCACCCGGTATGCATCTAATTGCCTGTAATTTAAGACAAAAAGGTTCCAACCCCTAGCGTATTTATTTTTAATAATTTTATTGATTTTTTAGGAACTTCCGCACCTCAAAAGGAAAAAATGGAACCCTTACATAATCACTTGTTGTCTTGTCATTTTATATGTAAATTTATATGGGAGGTGTCATCGATCCTCATTTCCCAGACAACTCTACGCCGTTTTTTCTCGATCATATGGTATTACAAGTATAGGGAAAAATCTTAAAAACAAAATATGGATCATTATACGGGACACTCGGTGGGCAAGTCCAACTCGCACTTGTCCGTTTTTTATTATTTTCATGATAATATATTTATTATAATTTCTGTATTAAAGATAAAGATTATATAGAAAAAAGTACCTATAGGTACTTAGTCTTTAGTAATTTAAATTAACCATGATAATAAAAGAAAATCATGAAATATTCCATTAACATAGTAACAAACAAAAACACAACAACTATATTTAGCTCTTTCTATTTATTGCAACCCGCATCAGATTTATTTTAAATTCTTCTCCTAAACGATTTAAAACAAAACAATAAAATAGATATTACTCCAAGATTTTAACAAAAAAAACAATTTTTTAAAATAATTCTAAAATAGTATAAATAATACCATCGTCCAACACTATCTATTCCCAAACAGAGACGAAATAGAAAGAGTCGATTATAAAAACGTCGCGGGAGACTGAAAGATCTGAAAATAAAACAGCATCTAAATGTCTCCGGATTGTGTAAGTTCAGTTTCACGCAAACTTTTATGCTGTTTACAACAGATAACTCCATATTAGAAAAGTGTAATTTCATCCTCCTTGTTCGCAGCTCATTACAACAACAATATCAGGTAAGTAGCACGTTTTAAATTAAAAAATAATCTTAAAAACGCTGCATGTCGCAAGAAACAACGTTTACTTTACCCATGTTTTCGAGACACCTTCGATTTATTCGCTTGTTTTATCGATTGTTTTCCTTACAATACCGGAAACCCGGGTTTTGTTTAAACAAAAGACTGGCGATTAGCGTGCAAAGTGACGTTGGCGAACGTGGGATCGAACATTAATCTATTTAACCTGTAAAAAATGCATTTACATGTAGATATATCAACATGGCTGCGGACATCTTGTTTTTGAATGTTATCCAACACGATATCTATTTTTACTGCGTTTTGTGACACCTTTTTAAAATTACGAATTCTCTATATTTTCGTAGGCAATTGGAGCGGCACGCGGGTGGACTGCAGGACTAGCGGGGGGGAGTTTGCGAGGGGGGTGGACAAAATGAAGAGGCCAGTGAGGAACAAGAGATACAGCAGGTCGGGGGGAATGCGATGATCTGAGTGAAACGTGAGACTTAACAGGTTTGCTGTTTTGGGAATGCATCTACTAATTATTGCTAAAGTCTGTCCAACGAGACAGGGAAGATTTCGACAGACGACAGAAAATACAATATGATCGAAAAAAAAACTGTCATTGTTGTCATTTGTAAAATTATATGGGTAATGTCATCGATCGCGTCGTTTCCAAGTCAACTGGACGCCGTTTTTTTTTCGATCGTACGGTACAATTTACCTGTCAACAAAAATGACAAACACATCTGTCGCTGTCATATATCCTCTCGTTGGACAGACTATAATTCCGACTTAGCTACTTAAAATTAAAATTAAAAAATCTCAATTTCTTTTAAATGGTACCCTATATATTATAATTTTTTTTGATAGATTTTTCAAAACTCTTCAACTTTTATTGAGTATGTCATATACCTATTTTTAATTTATTCGCGATTTATTCCATTTTTTTTAATTTTTACCCATGGATATTTACGCCATTAATTACGCCATAAAATCATAGTTGTCATGACAAAACAAAAATATTTATTACTTATCTTTAACAAGTAATTTAATAATTAGTTACAATTGTTATTGTTAGTTAAAATTAATTAACTTTACTCAAACAAACTAAAATCACAGTCGTGAATTTCTTGATGTATTTCTATATTATGAAAGATGAATTGAATTGAATTATTTTTCATCGGGGCTAATAGCCACAGATTAGGGCAATGCTAGATTATCTAATTGTTGACGACTACTAATATAGGAATTTTTTTCGACATACAGTATTTTTTTTTCTCGTAGTAATTCTGGTTTATAGTTCATTTCTTAAAGCCAATACGAGTATTACTACTGCTGCGAAACCGTCCCATTACACACTGAAAATAATATAATATAATATGAAAATGGTTTTCTAGATAATCTACATCTATTCTTATAGTACTTAACAAAGTACTATATAATACCGTATGATCGAATAAAAACGGCGTCCAGTTGGCTTGGAAATGACGATCGATGACATTTCCCATATAAATTTACATATAAAATGACAGCGATCTTCATTTCATAGCCATCGCTGACGCCGTTTTTATTCGATCATACGGTATATAGTACTGAACCAAAAAAGATGTTTTTTTTTGGCTTGATCGTGTATATCAGTCACATTGACTAATTAATTTTCAGGAAAATTTGTAACTATTATCTCTACCATTTAAACTTATTACAACAAATTAAACTAAAATTTTGTTATTAACTTGCTTAACAAACATATGCAATTTTAATAATTATTACTTTTTGTCATGGTAACTATGATGTTATAGGGTAATTGTATTCAAAATATGGTAAAAATAAAAAAAATTGGAATAAATCGCACACTATTAAAGATAGGTATATGACATATTTAATAAAAGTTGAAAAGTTTTGTAAAATCTATCAGAAAAAATGTAGATATAATAATATATAGGGTGTGCCATTTAAAAGAAATGACGCCGGGAGGCACGTATAGCCGCCCATACTAAAATATGTTAATAAAAAGTTGGTAGGCAGTTCTTTTAGTTTTAAAGTAAAGGAATATTTCCAATTTTTTTTTATCTCAAAAACTGCGACTTTGACTGATTTTGATGTTATTACAAATTTTGTTGCAAATATTATTCCTAATCTTATATTGAAAACCGCGTTTCGCTAGCTACCTTGAAAACCGCGTTTCGCTAGATTTTTTAAAATTTTTAACCCCCTCCCATAAACCCTGTTGGTATGTATGATCGGCTAAAAAATCAAATTTCTTAATTTTAAGTAGTTGAAATTCGTAAATATATTTTGAAAACCCTGTAGCATTTAACTAAAATATCTTTACATACGTCTTTTTCTATATCTTTATAAATTTCTACTACCAAATTTTAGTTATCCAACTTCAGAAACAATGGCATTACTGGCAATTTTTTATCACACTGCAATTTACCATATGTTTAAACAAATTTAAATATTACAAAAACTATTAATTTTAGGTATATAATATTATATATAAAAAAGTTATGGCATTTTATGCAAAATCTAAAAATAAAATAAAAAATAGTGTGTTGCATTTAAAAAACATATGTTATATTCGCCACACTTTTTTGAAGCGCCCTGTATACTCTATAATAATTTTAAAATGTGTATCTTAACCGTCCCTATAACTTTTATATTTAACATTTTTTTGTAAACCTCGAAACAAATGAGATAATGGACTTTATCGTTGATTCACCCTGTACTGTTCGCTATCACTATCAGTGTACAGGGTGTCCTATTTTCGTGTGTTTTATGGCGTCTCGTTTATGAGTAGAGATACAAAGATGCGGTTTTTATATCACTAAATATGCTACTTCTTTATGAAACTGAAGATGCTACACACAGATTTGTCCTAGCCCTCTTAGTTCCTGAAATACAGGGTGATCTTAAATAAGTGCAAATATTTTTAAGGGTAGTATATTTCGACACATTAAGAGGTTTCTTCACGAAAAAAAAAATTGAAAATTTGGAATTTTTTGAAAAAAAAATTATTTTTTTTTAGTTTTTAGATAAAAAACATAATTTCTTGATAATATGGTAACATAGGGAGTAGATTAAATTTACAAGAAAGAAATCCCAGAAAAGATCCAGTGGTTCTCAAAATTTAAGCAAAAAATATTTTTTTGGAAATTTTCAAAGTAAAAAATAACTCTGTTATTTTGGACTTATTGCGAACTACGGTAGCGAGCATAGGTTTTGCTAGTCGGGTCATAATTGGGGCTATTTCGGCTATAACGAAATTTTTTAAAGGTACATAATTATAATTTTAGAAGATGTTCATAAAACATTTTTTAATTACCAGTTAATTAAAAAAAGTATACAGTTAATATTGCAAATTATATTTTACCCTTCTCATAGTATATGCCTATTTAATTTTTTGATGATTATGTAACGAGCACTTTGTTTATTCACTGTTTCGTCGAATTGCTTGAAATACATAGCGAAAATTTCTGATTTCTGCCGTATACAGCGCATCGGAATTTTTTGAAATCAACTGAAATGCACCAAGGCTATAGCCAGCATAACATTTCTTAACGTGAATAAATCGATAATATTAACAATGCTTGTTTTTTGTGTTCACATACCGAATGTCTAGTCTATTGTACAATATGATCGAAAAAAAAGCGGCGTCAGCTATGGCTATTAAATGAAGATCGCTGTAATTTTATATGTAAAATTAATGGGGAATGTCACTGATATTCATTTAGCCAACTGGACGCCGTTTTTTTTTCGATCATACGGTATATTTATATCATTTTTATAACCTAATTTTTAGAAGAACGTATGGAGAGGAAAGACGGCCTCCCAAAAGACTTTTCACTCCAGAAATTAAACGGTTTCTAAAAGACTGGCTGGTAAGGAGAAGAGATAATCCTTATCCTAATAGAGATGAGAAGAAATTATTGGCTGTGCAGACTGGACTAACATATATCCAGGTAAATAAGCAACATTCAGTATATAGGGTGATTCATCATTAGTCAAAGACTTGAAATGAGTACACAAAAACTTTTTTGGCGAATTTCTTATCTAGCGTTAAATCTTTAACGTATAAACTCCCAATTGCTTGAAGGTGAATATACAGGATGTCCTAATATTCCGCGGACCTAGAACTACTACGTATTTTTATTATATATATTTACCTCTATACAAAAGTGCTCTGTTTGTCCACTAGAGGGCCATCAAACTTTAAAAAAATAAACACATTTTTTCAGATATTTTAAGAACCGCTATTCCGATTTAAATGAGATTTTCGGTGTCTGTTTTGCTAAATGCTTTAACATTTGGCTTTCACAAAAATCAAGAAAAAATACGGGAAGGGTGAAAACTACCCCCACCCCTACATAAATTTTAGTATAAATATTTTCCAACTTCACGGACGGCCGATTTTCTTTTCGTAAAACTGTCCTTCGAGTATTTACTACATTTTTTGTCTCTTAAAAATACACCAGTTGTTGAGAAAAAACATTTGTGGAGGGAGTTCCAATATTCCGTGGACATAGAACAACTACGTATTTTTTTATTCAAAATACATTAATTGCACATAATTTACCTTTATAGCAAAATATAACATTAAATCACCACAATACACCAAAACACTTTTACTTTTACACTGGACGCACGTTTCGCTAACCATGTTAGCATCATCAGCAGATGATTATAAACTAAAATACAATATACAATTGGAGCGTTTATATACTCGCTCAGTGGGCACAGAGTGGGCGTGGCGAATCTAGTTAATATTGTATAGTTATATCTTCTAGTTTGCCCAACATATTTCTGATTACAATCTTTACAAGAAATTTCATAAATACCCGACCTTTCCAGTAGAGGTGTTTTATGCTTTGGATTACCTAATAATTGTTGTAATTTATTATTAGCACTATACACAATTATTAGTATTTCTAATAGTTATTAGAAATAGTTATAAATAATATATAATAAATAGTTATTAGAAATACTAATAATTGCCTGGAATTTGATATCTATAGGAAAAATACCACTACACGCAGATATATTTCTAATGAATCATATCATAGTACCTATTGAACATAAAATGGCTAGTTCAAATTTCTTAATTCATAGATTACTTAGTTTTCCACTTTCCAACGAAAGATATGAAATTGAAAGAGATTACATTAGGAATGTAGTGTAATGGATATTCTCCTTCACTAGTTAATAAAATAATTAGAAAACGTAGATATAGGTTAATGATTTTTGAAAATTCGACTTTTCAAGTGGAGAAAGATACGTCAAAATATTTTTCAATACCGTTTGATAGACAGTTATCCCGTGGTCTAAAAGGAATTTTTAAGAATGCTAATTATAAACTTGTGTATAGTGCTAATAATAAATTACAACAATTATTAGGTAATCCAAAGGATAAAACACCTCTACTGGAAAGATCGGGTATTTATGAAATTTCTTGTAAAGATTGTAATCAGAAATATGTTGGCCAAACTAGAAGATCAATATTAACTAGATTCAAAGAACATTTAGCTCAGATAAGATATGGTAGACCTGATAAATATTGCGTTGCCGAACATATTGTTGATAAAGAACATTGTATAGATCTTAATAACTTAAAATTACTTAACAAGTCTCAAATTACAGGCAATTAGATGCATATGAAAGCATCAGAATTAATAAATGTAAAGATAGTATGAACAGAGACAACGGTCCAATTCCTTCAAGTTCTTTGTTCCTACTACTCTAGTGGCGGAAATCTAACTGTTACGCTCGGTGGGTTCTGACTCGGTTGGCTAGATCTTGCCACGCCCACTCTGTGCCCACTGAACGAGTATATAAACGCTCCAATTGTAGATTGTATTTTAGTTTATAATCATCTGCTGATGATGTTAACATGGTTAGCGAAACGTGCGTCCAGTGTAAAAGTAAATGTGTTTTGGTGTATTGTGGTGATTTAATGTTTTATTTTGCTGTGTAACACCAAAGGTTCCAACCCTCAACTGTAATTACCTTTATACAAAAGTACTTTGTTTGTCCGTTAGAGGGCACCAATCAAAAATAAGTCTGAACGTTAATTAATTTAAAATTTATTATTTTTTTTAAGATTTTTATGAACTTTATTGTCAAATATAATGTATGATACTAACATAAAATGCCATATTTTGACCAACTAGATTATTAGAGCATAATAGATTTTATGCGCCTCCATAGCTAGATCTGACAAAAAACATTTTTTGGAAGCCAGCTTCGGAAAAATATTTTTTTTTCTCAAAAAGTATGTGCGGTGGCGTTGTTTTACAAGAGACAAAATATGTAGCAAATACTAGAAGGAGCATTTTACAAAAAAAAAGTCGTCGGTAGAGTTGAAAAGTATTTCTACTAAATGTATGCAGGGGTGATTTTTGTGAAAGCACTTAGCAAAACATAGACGCCCAAAAACTCATTCAAATCGGAATTACGGTTTTTACAATATCGACTGGGAGTTGGATGACTAGAATTTTCCTTGCGACCCCAAAGTGAAATTAAACTAATAAACCACGACTCCGCCACTGGGTACAATAATTATCTTTTTGATTTCTATAGGTGTGTAATTGGTTTGCGAATTGGAGAAGAAAACTGAAAAACGCCGGAAAGCATCCACAGAAAAAGACATGGGGCGACCTAATCAAAACGTATAACAGTCAAGTGCAAGGAAACGTGGAGCATTTCAGTATTTGTTCGGAAGACAGCATCTGGGAAGAGCCCGAGGAAAGTTATGACGAAGCTCAATTTCAACAATTCGAAGAGAAATATGCTCAAAGTCAATTGAATCAAAACTGTGGTCCATTTTTTAACAATAACAATAGGTAAATAATTATAGATATTAATTTGTCTTGTAGATTGTAGTTTGTATGGGAGAGTGTACTGTTAAAACCCCGTGACAATCCAAAAATTGTTTTTACTAAAATTAAGGAAAATATTTGATTTTTCTCGGTTGTATATAAGTCCTGAGAAATTTCTTTGAGTGTCTTAGACCGGTTGGAAAATTCCCATTCCAGGTTACGGATGGAGTCTTACAGGTTCTTGCGTTCCGCTTTAAGTTGGTTTCCACTAGGAAAGCAGAACGGTTTTAGTCCAGTTAGTAGTGTTCGCTCTTTTTCTAGCTAGATCGTTTGCTTTTTCATTACTTACTATCCTTTGGTGGGCTGGCGCTCAGAATAGGAAGACTTCTCTAGGCATTCTTTAACCAACTTCGAATTAATGGTTACTGAGTTGATCGCTTTTAAGGCTACTTGATTACCGGATAAGGCTATTTCGTGTTTCCGATAGTTCCTATCTAAGATAAGTCTTATTTTGCCTTGGTAGCGGATTCATTTCTTGAAAAAAAAATCTGAGTTTTTCGCTACTGGAAAAGAACTCTACAAAATAAAAATTAAAAGTAAAGTATTTTAAGTTACTGCCAAAAAAGTTATTTTTTGTAAACACCACTGGCGTTGAATCCAGACGGGAACCAACTTAACTCTCTAGGAGGTATATCTCCTCCCATCGTCATAAGCATAAAAAGATGCAAATAAGAAAAAATTATTTAAAATATCGAAATACCGGGTGCGTCTCAAAAGTGACTCACCCCTATAACTTTTTTTTTCAGACAAAAAATCGAGACTTGACTAAGACTAAGATTTATTGACGTATTCAATTGTTTTTGGTTACTTCCTGTTTCACCGGAAATGACTACAACTTTTGATTTTTAAATGACACTCTCGGATTTTTTAACTTTCATCATGAATGACATATAATATGTCAACTTTTGACATTTTCGCATATGGTTTATTTGAAATTGTAACATGCGGTCCATAACGACAATTTGGCTCGAAAAACCATGTGTGTGGTATCAAATTATTCATAAAAAATGCTTTTTCCATATATATGCTGATGAGCCACTCTCGTTTCATTTGAAAAAATTGAGATGTGATTAAAAATACGATTTGGACATCTTTTAACCGGCCAAAACAAGACACGAAAACATTAGACGATCAAATCTATTTTTACAAGGCTCCTTGATTAAAAATAAGTGTTTTAAACTCTAGATTGAAATTTAAAATGCGATTTTTTAAGCGAAAATGTCAAAAGTTGACATGTTATTCTATTCAGAGTGTGATTTTCTATCGAATAAAGTAAAAATATACGCAGTGGCGGATACAGGGGGAGGGCCCATGGGGCCCGGGCCCCCCCTAAAGTCTGTGAATTGTGTAAAATATTAGGCTTTTGTGTTAAAAATGGCGCCCTAAAAACCATATTTTGCATTGCTTTTCATTTTGAGCCCCTCCTAAAATAAATTCCTGTATCCGCCCCTGATACGGAGGATGCCATTTAAAAATCAAAAGTGGTAGGAATTTCCGGTGAAACAGGAAGTCGCCAAAAAAAATTGAATACCTCAATCAATCCTAATTTATGTCATATACTAACATACCAAACCTCGTTATTTTATGTGAAAAAATAAAAAAGTTATAAGGGTGAGTCACTTTTGAGACGCACCCGGTATAGTGGCAATATCTATCCACAAAATTTTATAAATGGGCTATGAAAAATACATGTTGACATTTAGTATTGAGCAAATAAGTTCCCAGCATGTACAAATATAAATTTTATGATGCCATCTCTATAAATGCGGAAGTTATTCATACTTTGCATACTTTTGTCTAATTTTTACAACACAATTTTTCTTTAAAAACTGTTAACGGATTCAATAAGATTAATTGAATATACGACTGCTAGTTATTTCATTCTAGTACCGTCACGGTAAAAAATTACAAAATTTTATTTTTTATCTAGTTGACTGAAAATTGGTACACTTATACAGGGTCCGGCAATAGTAGCTCCTAGAATAAAAAACTTGAGAATTTTGTTTATGAATAAACTTAAAGTATGTATAAAGATGTATTTCAAGAAAATATTTTAACTTATATAGGGTGACTCAAAAAAGTGTTGGTTGATCGGGATGATTATTTTTAAATGGGCAATTAAATATATTTCCATAGCTTTAGAGATATTAATAAATAAATAAAAAATATATATTTCTCAACGTTCATTAAGAAAATATTATAAGTACAATAACTGCTCTAAAATCAAAACTATATTAGGTATTTACTTTAGATGGTCTATACTTACTTTGCTATAAATATCGCAATCTTAAATGATACAGGATGTTCAAAATTCTACGCCAAACTTTCTAAAATAAAATAATTGTATATTATTTTTTTATTAGATGTAGAATTAAAAAATGAACAATTTTTGTATTTAAAGTATTTCAATATTTTTAATGGTTTTGCAAATACACGCAGTATTATTTCATATGGCTCTTCAACGGTAAAATACGAGAGAAAAATCATTGGGTGGCTTTGATAAAAATTTACTGTGGAAAATGCCATATGAAATATAAAACCCTCATTATCTGCGAAACCATTACAAATTTTGAAATACACTAAATACAAAAATGTTCACTTTTCAATTCTCCATCTATTGATAAAATAATATACAGGGTGTTACATTTGAAAAAACAAAGAAAAATTATTTTATATTTTAGAAAGTTTGGCCTAGAATTTTGAGCATCCTGTATGATTTACGATTACCATATTTATAACAAAGTAAGTGCAGACCATCTAAAGTAAATACCTATTATAGTTTTGATTTCAGGACAGTTCTTGTATTTTTAAGATTTTTTTAAGAAAGGCTGAAAAATATATATTTTTTATTTATTAATTAATATCTCTGAAACTATAAAATAAAATATATATGGAAGCTAAAGAAGCAATAATATACAGGGTGTTCCATTAAAAAAAATCATCCCGATCCACTAACACTTTTTTGAGCCACCCTATAGGAGTTAAAATATTTTCCTGAAATACATCCTAATACATATTTAGGTTAGCACTTAAACAAAATTTCCAAGTTTTTTATTCTAGGAGCTACAGATGCCCGACGCACTATTGCCGGATCCTGTATAAAATTAGAAAAGAAACAACTATTTCAAATAAAGTTTTTCGAAATTCTGCCAGCAAACCAATTTTAAACCCATTTGTTACTTTAAATGTAAAATTTGACACACAGGCAACATTTTCTTAAGTCATTTTTAATCTAAATCAGAGATAACTTAGTTATCTATACAAACTATCGCCGAAGTTAAATTTCACTTAAGTCGATAAATAAAAAAAGCTCCATATGATGCGCCCTTTATCTGTGATACTGTATATAAGTTACAAATATTTTGTTCTTTTTTAGTGAAATTCAAAATCAATGTTACTACGTCAGTTCGACAACCGAATTAGAACAGGACAATCCTTTTTCTCAATCAACCAACAAATTTAAACACCACATCATGGAGAAATACGTGAAAGATTGTCAGAGCCTCGCGTACTCAAACAACGAACTAGCGGAGGATAAACCTTCCATGATTGCCAAATGGCTGCAAAGCGCTGAACGTTTCAGACCAAACGAGAACAGTTTCATAGACTGGAGCATACCTAAATCACAAAAAAGGAAATCTTGTAAAGCTGACAACGATATGTTGTTGGTGCACGGTAAAGAAGAATTAGACGCTGCAGAAGCTTTGACGTCCCTAGCAAATTCGAATAGACAAAGTTGAGCAACTATAGTCCGATTCACAAAAGAAATCGATTGATTCATCTGGAAACAACATATATACCGACAAACAATATTTAAATATCTTACATTAAAGATAACTTAAACCTAATATATTGTCTTAAAACTGGCAATACTCAGTCTCTAGATCAAACAAAGATAGACCTTCATATATTGTATAACAGATCCAAAAGCAAGAGGAATTCGAGCAAACAAATCGATGTTGTCACGTTTAATAATAGAAAAGCAAAATTGCTGGATATTTCCTATAAATTTAATGTTAAGTATCTTAACGTAGTTCTCATTGTAAAATGTCTGTTTATCTAATTAACTGATTTCCTTCATTCTACCTATTATAAAAGTTATATAAGTATTTCCTAAAGATAACATCCGCTTAGGGTAAGCTGGCAACGCTGACAAAATTCATCATGGCATCCCAGATTCAACCAACCTGATTGGTCGAGATGTTCGCATGTTTTGGCGCCATGACCCAGAATTTTATGCCCCTCCCTAGAAATAGTCACTACTATTGAAAAATCCAGTGGCGGTGTTATTGTATTGTTTTATGCCTTTAACTTGATTTGTGTATTTGTTATTTTTGTATTTGTTATTTTTGTATTTGTTATTGTAATAAGTACACGCGTTTTAACAAATATTACTATATTTGGCAAATCAATTATGAAGTATTCTGGAAAGTATTATAAAAATTCCTGACATATTTTCATAAAACACCGCTCCTGGATATTTTACGAATGAAATTGTTCATTATTTTAGAAAATTGCTATCCCCTTACCGTTGCCCCTGGAGTATTTATAAACGTTTGTAAACGTTTATAAACAATTTTCTAATTTAGTAGATTGTTCTTCTTTTGCGAATCGGAGTATAAAAATGTGTGAGCATCATGCATTTCTATAATGTAGCTATATTTTCAATATTCTTTGACTCTAGTCTCAACAAGTTGATATTCATTTATTTGCTCAAATATTTTAATAATTAATGTTATTTGTATGCACCTCATCTATTTTAAGCATAAAATCACTTTTAAATCATAACATGTCATATTATGATACTCCCATCTTTTTTAGTTTGGTTAAGTAGTTTTGTATAATGGTTACACTGTTCATAGAATAAAATGTTCCTAGGTAACAACTTTGTGTATTGAAACAAATTTGTTTTTTTGAAATATTGATTATTTAATAATTTTCCTTGGTATGTTTTGTACAATTTTTTGTACTACTTTGCATAAAATACATTTCAATAGTCCTTGACGAAAATAACATACATTACTGGTGAAGTTTTTATTTGGATTATTTAATTTTATTATTTACCCCATTCTATGCTGACAGTTATCTGACATTGTCTGTCATTGAATTCATCAGTAAACTGTTATTTCTCTCAAGTTTTTATGTCAGTTGTCAAAATCGTCTTTTCTACTTCTTAACAGATCAAAGCTGTAGAAAATTTCCTACATTTTTCCATTTCAAGGTAAGGACTAAAATTAAAACTATATTAGAATAATTCATTTAGTTTACAATAATAATTATAATACAAATACGTATAAAAATGTGTTTATTATATTATGGTAGGTAATGAACCTATTATTTTTAATAATTTAGGATACATCTTAATAAAATATTTCTAAATTAATTGAATTTTGTAAATTCTGTGATTTCAAATAAATAAATTTTTGAACTGTTTCCAAAGTGTATATTTTAACTAACTAACCTTAAAAAATATATGATTAATCAATAGATATATTTTTGATACCTTAACAGTTCCTTAAAACTGTAAAGCAACTATTCCACACAGCCGTAAGAACATATGTAAAAATTGTACAGATGTAAAAATTTTGAATAATATTCACAAACTGATACATTGGTGACATATCGCAATGAAATAAGAAACGACCAACTGTAAAGCGGCCCATACATTATCAAACAAATTGCGCAACGAAGCGATGAGCAAACGTTGCGTTGCACAACTGAAAGCGGTCCATACACTCTCAAACAAGTTGCGCAACAAAGCGATGTGCAACGTTCCGTTGCACAACTGCCTCACCCATGCGCTTAGTAAAATTTTGATCAAACTGTTTATTAAAAGTTGTGCATTGTTTGAGAAACAATCATGTCCTCAATTGCCATTGCGTCAATTATTATCCTATATACCCTAGATGATGCCGATGATACCAAAAAACGAAAAAGAAAACAAAGAATTTGAATGAAAGAACTAAAATATTGCACAACGAAGCGCAACACACACATACACTACACAACGCGTTGCGCAAACAGTCCTGTTGCACAAAAGAATTCAAACATTCTTGAAACTCATCAAACAATTGCGCAACGCATCAAACACTACCATACATTGGCAACTCATCGTTGCGCAACGGCCTGCGTTGCGCAATTTGTTTGATAATGTATGGGCCGCTTAACGCATAGATAAAGGAAATAAATTTAGATTTGAATGCCCGTCAAAATATATAATTGTTTTGGGTCGCAACCGTTGTACGCGATCTGGCGCTGCTATAGCGGTTGCTAAGAACAACCGCCAAACAATAACAGAAATGATTTTCTCTTGTCAAAGCCAGATCTTCAAAAATTATAAAATCTTTTAAAATTTAAACCGCCCTCATTGACAAAATACCAAAAAGTGTTTAAAGTGTCCAATCTCAAAGTAATTATTGGTATCTTGTGAGTTTAATTTAAATTTTATTTACTCAAACCCGTGATAATTGTGAAAAAGTGGTATTAAAAACTTAAAAAGCTGTGTTGTGAACTGTGAACTGCAAAAAACCAACGTGGATCGTGGCATAACGTCGGTTTCAAATGTTTTAAGGTATTCATACATGTCCTTATATAATATAAAGTTTCTTGTATGCAGCACACTGTATTTTATTTATAAAATTAAAAGAAAGTAATAATACATTTGAATACTAATAATATTTGGCGACATAATTCCGGGAAAAAGCCAAACCGATCCGAAATTATCAAAAGCTTTGGGTCGCGACCGCAAAAATAGCGCCAAATAATATTAACATTGTCCTTATGGGCACTTTCGAATCTAAACTTGTTTCATTTATCTATGCTGTAACGGAAAGGAGATTTCTATTGTAACTGAACTGTAATGTTCAATTTTTATTTCGGTACCAAAATATCTACATTAAACAAGAAAAAAAACAAATAAAAGTTTTTTATTGTTTGTAGTATAATTGGTCAAAATATAGATGTCATAGATACCTATTTAATAAATGGTGGCATAATTTAATGCAAACAGTTCAGTTCTTTTAGTTTATTTAAAGTCAGCTGCTAGTACTATCCACCCTCAACATTGTTTTTATAATCATTTTGATTCACTGTCTTCAACAGTCTCCATAGATTCACCCCAAACTTTAATAGTCATAACTGACGCAGTTAAAATAATATCCTTTCTCGGATGTACACTTAATGAATTTAACACCTTGCCAGGCGTGTGTATAAGTTTATGTTTAACTTCTGCAGATACCAAATCCCAACACCATAATTCCCCAGTTTTTGAACCCGACACAACACAGTTATCGTCATTTAAAATATCACTTTCAATATTCATATTATCGATTTTGTGGCCTGTAAATCTGAAAAGTAAAAATGTATTAAATACCAATATACAAAAATTAGAAATATACATACTCTCCTAATAACTCTCCACTGCTTTTGTCTAGTAATCGAGCTATATTATCTGATGAATTTACTAAAACACATTGCCCATCATGTGATAAACTGACAGATGTAATTGCAGCTGAAATATACAAACTAGATTAAAGTACTTATGGCAACAAAAAAAGGATAAAAAAATACCTCCAACAAAATCTGCATCGCATCTGGCATTACGTAAATCATACCTTCGAACTGAGCAATCTACAGAGCCAGTTAGAATTTCATGATCGGTTACCTTTAAAGAAGTTATACTATCTTTTGCTTCTTTCATTACTTGAAAGGGGACTTGGGCCCTAGATCTAGTGTCCCAACACATTACAGTATTATCTATGCTCCCAGATATAGCCATAGTAGATTCTTCATTAAACTTGACACAGGTTACACTCGCCGCATGACTTCTTAGTCTCCTTAAAGGCTGGCCAGTAGATACATCCCAAACTAAATTCAATAATTGATAAATAAATATAAGTATATGTATAATTCTACATTTTCACACCTATTACTGATTTATCTAGATGAGCATGAAACTATTTGACTACTATCGCAAGATCCACAGGTATCTAATACCTCGTTTCCATGTCCTCCATAAGTTTTGAGCAATAACTTTTTGTAAGGGTTCCATAGCTTAATTTTTTTATCTGAGCCACATGTTAAACAGTATGAACCATCAACTAAAATTATATTAAAAGTTAGTATTATACATGGATTATAAACCAAGTCTCTTTATATTTTTGTATGGTATCATGGTTTATATTAATAAGGATTAACCTGTTATTTTTATATTAAAATATGTCTATTTTAATTCAAAAGTAACAGACATTAACAATTATGTAGTGTGTACATCTAAATAAAATAATTATTACACTTTATTTAGCTATGTTTGATTACCACAGTAGTATTTATAAATTCTCTAGGCAGCAAATTCCAACTATTGCGAATTAAAAAACAACAAACTGTATATCTTTTACTTACAACTTACCATTAAACCGTACCGCTCTTACAGCTCCTTGATTACAATCGATAGTATTTAAGCATTGTAAATCCATAATAACCACATTAAAATAACTTAAAACAATGTAGTTGTTTTATAATAACAAATAACACTCAAATTTGCCAGTCCACAACAAAAAAACAAAATATACCGAACATAAACAAAAAACAGCTGAGCACCGAAACTCAGGGTCAGCTGATTTTTAAAGTCCCTAGAATTACCCATGAATTACCTAGGGAATTTAAGCTGATTATTTTTAACGCCTTCTAGATTTCTACAGTTTATTATTTGAATTATCTCTTGAAACAATTCATTGTTAAGTACAATCGTTATTAAAAATTTGCCCGTTACTTCAACCACTAAACAAATTCTCAAATCATTATATTTACATATATTATACAAAATTAAGTTTCTGTGTTATGATGGTGTTATGTAAACAAACCAGAAATAAACAAAGGAATGCCAGGTTGCCACTTGGTTTTAATAAATGTATTAACGAAAGCCGTTTATGTTTATATTACAAATTATTATAGCCTACCGGTAAATAATAAATATTTTTTATTCACAACTGTATAACAAACCCAAAAATGAAAAATTACATACCTACTTCAATTTCCCCCTTTCAAAATATTGAATTTGGCAACACCGCCTTTGTTTAGGTGCAAATTGAAGTCGTCTTCAAGATCGTACCATTGTTTACATTTGTTTATTGTTTACTATTCAAATTTCGTGTTTTATATATTTTTTTGTGAAAAATCTGTGCGTAGAAGCTTGTAAGGAATATTTTTTATCGAATCAGAATATATTCTCTGTAATGGGACGTATAAAGTGTTTTATTTGTGGAGTTTATAACCACAATAAAAATAAAATCGTATCCTTCCACAAGTTAGTATTTTGAACTGTAGTGTCGATTTGCCAAGATATACAATGCAATCAAAAAGATTTACAATCAAGTTTGCGTTGTGTAATGACATCACAGATAAACGGTTCTTATGGAAAATTAGAAATTGAAGTTTTTTAAATGACAAGGTCAAAGCTCACTTGATCATAAACTTTTTGATCATACGGTATCACTACTATAACGTATGTCCCAATAAGAGAATAAAGACAGTGATAATTATTTTAATTTAAAATAAATTTGGGTATTTCTCTGTCAGTATAGTTGTACATTAAATAACAAGAATAAGGAAGGATTATATCAACAAAAAATGGTGAGATGGCGAAGGGGTTTCAATATGGCTGTCCGTTAGCGTTAGATGTCCTGTTTACCAGTCGCGTACGATTTTTTTGACATAATATGTTAAAATATAAAAAAAGTTTTACTCATATAGAAATATAATCTTTTTCAGTGGCGGATACAGGGGGGCCCATGGGGCCCGGGCCCCCCCTAAAATCTGTAAATTAGGTTAAATATTAGGCTTTTGGGTTAAAAATGGCGCCCTAAAAGGCATATTTGGCATTATTTTTTATTTGCCCCCCCCCCTAAAATAAATTTCTGTATCCGCCCCTGATCTTTCTTATTAGCTTTCTTTATGCTTATACTCAATAATTAGCCAGTTTAGTTTATGTTGGCTCAATAAAGGTTAATAACAATTAAAATGAACTAAAAAATATACCGGGTGCGTCTGAAAAGTGGCTCACCCCTATAACTTTTTTATTTTTTCAAATAATAAAACGAGACTTGGTATGGTAGTATATGACCTAAGTTAGGATTGATTGACGTATTCAACTGTTTTTGGTCACTTCCTGTTTCACCGGTAATGACTACAACTTTTGATTTTTAAATGGCACCCTCGGTATTTGAAAGACCCTTGATATTAGAAAATGACATTCTGATTAGAATGACATATCATATGTCAACTTTTGACATGTTCGCTGAATAAAAAATTGTATTTTAAATTTCAATCTAGAGTGCCATGGCTATGTTCATAACACTAATTTTTAATCAAGGGGCCTTGGAAAATAGATTTGATCGTCTAATGTTTTTAGTGTCTTGTTCTGGCCAGTTAAAAGATGCCCAAATCGTATTTTTGATCATATCTCTTTTTTTTTCAAATAGAACAAGGGTGGCTCATTAGCAAATTTGGAAAAAGCATTTTTTTATGAATAATTTGATACCACACACTTGGTATTTCGAGTCAAATTTTCGTTATGAACCGCATGTTATAATTTAAAATAAACCATATGCGAAAATGTCATAATTTGACATATGATATGTCATTCTATTCAGAGTGACATTTTCTATCGAATAAAGTAAAAAATACCGAGGATACCATTTAAAAATTAAAAGTTGTAGTCATTTCCGGTAAAACAGGAAGTGACCAAAAACAATTGAATACGTCAATCAATCCAAATTTATGTTATATACTAACATCATAGTATAAGAAAACTAGTAGTTTTACTCCTTGTCAAATCCTTTGTTCTTTTTCTGCCACTTTATATGACCTTGTTCTCGCCTCCGTAGCCGACGACGCGCGACGTAGCTGTATAGTCGTGGTCTATTAACTAGGCAAAGTATAGACGTGGCACTCGCCATAGTTTCACAGATATGTATTTAGGAAAATATGAGTTCACAATAAAATAAAATAAAAAAAATGATCAACTCGCTTGAAAACAGAATATTTTCACATTTCGTGTAGGTAACAATTCTTCTGTATCTGAAAATCTTCTGATGGGAAGAAATGCGGAAAAAATTTCAGAGATTTTCTACGACTTTTTTTGATTTATAGCAAGTTTAATTTTCTGTAGATAACTGGATTCGGCATAAAATTATGCTATAGTACACTGTCTTTATTTAAAGCACACTGCGGTGTTGCTATTCTATTTCTTATTTACTAAAACTTTGGTTAAAAACATTATATACGAAAAGTGGTAAAAAACTAGAGTGAATATAACTTTATTAATACTTTGCTATGTTTTCTTAAACATGAAGGATATCGGAATAAATTCGTGTAGAAAAATTTACTTTATCGTTTGCAGGATAATTTTTATGGCGTCACCAAAATCGTAATATTTAAAAAATGTTGTATCTCATTTTTTTAAATGCAACACCTTGTATATTATTTTTCTTTTAGATGTAGAATTAAAAGGTGAACATTTTTTGACAAGACAAGACAGATAAAGATCATATTAGGTGGCTTTGAAAAAAATTTACTGTTGAAAGAGCCATATGTAATATAATACTGCGAATATCTGCGGCAGCGGTAAAAAATTAGAAACACTTTAAATTAATAAAAAATGTTCACTTTTTAATTCTGCATCTGACAGAAAAATAATATACAGAATGTCGCATTTAAAAAAATTGAGATAAACCATTTTAAATATTGCGATTTTGGTGACGCCATAAAAAATACCCAATATAGAATAATGTATATAGAATGATGTAAAATAATAAAAAAAATCAAACTAACTTTACCATAACTTTTTTGTGACACCCTGTATATAACAAAATATTTTAGGATACACCCCTTTATAAACCTTGAAACATATGAATAAAACTTTTTTCACATCTTTGACAACGACGACGATATTGAACTTCCTCGCACTTGGGCCACCCTGTATATTTACGGTGGTTTAAAGCTAGGTGTGGCACTTTTCTTCCCTCAAATATAAACTCAATATTTTGTCTATAATATTTTGAATATTGTTATATCACGACCACTTATAATAAAAAATAAATAAAAAAAAAACAAAAAATACAATCCACTAAATTTATAAAAGATTTTATAAAATTCTTTCTATTAAAAAATATGAATAATTTGCGGAGACTTTAGATGTACAAAATATTTATTCTAAAATTGTTTCAAAAACCAATTTATATAAATTATCTCGTAAATTATTATTGGAATGAAAATTTTATGGAAAATCCCCTGGCCAAAAAATATTTTCATGCGCATATTTGAGACAACCTGTATATCTAAAAAACTATTTTTAAAATCTGCCCACATGCTAAAAAAATAATAACATTTAATTAATTACATAATATCTCAGCTTCTAAAATAAACAAATATAATTAAATGTTAATTGATAATTACTATCAGCTTGCCGATTTACATCCGATGGAAATCTAAAAGACTCAAAGAACAATTTTTTGAATTATTTCCACAATTAATAGCAGCGCACAGTAAGGCACTCATTTTTTGTCAATCCGTCCCTGTGCTCGGACGCAACGCTCGAACCTCACAGCTCGACGGACCGAATTCAACTGAAACGCTTTGCAACCTGCCGATATTCGACAGCATGCAAAAACTGGCAGAAAATATTTGCGAGAGTGCAACTACTCTTTTCCTTAAACTATGCTAACATACCAAATCTCGTTTTTCTATCTGAAAAAATAAAAAAGTTATAGGGGTGAGCTACTTTTGAGATGCACCCGGTATAGCTAGGTATTTTAGAATTCTTCCTCAGTCCCATTTTTCAGTGAGATAATATGTATAGTCTGTCCAATGAATCAGTAAAGATTTAGACAGATGACATCCAAAAAATGAAAAAATACAACTTACATGTAAATTAAAATGACAGACACAACTGTCACGAATGAGGAGGGCTTAAAGCACTTAAAGCCCTCTGTAGTCCCGGATCATTTCGTTGGACAGACTAAATTATAATAAATGATAACATTTGGAGAAAAAAAAATAAAAATAAAATTGAAAAAAATATTTTTAGATTTCCTTGCGATGGAAATAGGTTGAAAATTTGGTGTGATAAGTTAGGTCGTTCAACAAGCGATATACAATCAAACTCCTTTATCTGTTCATTACATTTTTCACCTGAGGATTTTATATACTATGGCAAACCGAAACGTGTCCGTCTAACCAATACTGCTGAACCTACTCGTAATGTTGAAAAGTTTGAAGAAAATACTCACCTAACTAATCCTGCTCATTCTATTAATAATGTTGATAGGTATGAAGAAACTGCTCGTATACCCAATTTTGCCCAACCTATTTGTAATGTTAATAGGTATGAAAAGAACTGCTCATCAAACCAGGTCTGCTAGACTTATTTGTTATGTTGATAGGTATGAAGAAAGTGGTCATCTAACAAGTTGTGCTAAGCCTAATTATATTGTTGATCAATATTATAGTCAGCCTATTTGTAGTGGTAATAGGTATGAAGGAACTACTCATCTAACCAATTGGGTCGAGTCAGTTTATAATGCAGATGGGTGTAAGGAATCAGGGTAAGTACTGAGACATAATTATAATAATAATAGTCTTTATTAAGATTTATTAAAACAATTACAGAAAATATAGGACATAAAAAGAAATATTGCTTAGTTAAATCATAGATAAAGGAAACAAGTTTAGATTGGAAAGTGCCCGTAATGACAATGTAAAGCATAATTTTATTTTCCACGTTCAGTGGCGAAAATTTGATAGTAGCCGAGGCTCTTGCGAATAAAAATTGACTGTCTGACACATAGTTGCACGAATGAGTTTTGGTTGCTTTGGTTAGCCTTTTTTGCCTTTTTTGGTGGTGAATCTTTTGTTTTTTAATATAAAATCGAATTTGGATGTCCTTTTTCAATGACTAAAGAATATAAGGACATGTAACGCCCATATACGGGCTGCAGCAGAATTTGTGACCTTAGAGGCCATTCTTTTGATGGCAAATAATGAGTCATCATTTGGTCACCAGCGACAATTTTAGTGATTTTTAATAGTTTTGTGTAGTAAACTTTGTATAAACTTTATTACAATGGTGATTAGTTGTTCAGCTTTCAAGTGTAAAAGCAGCAGCGATAAGAAAGAGCCAGGAGTTACGTTTCATAGGTAAATAAACAGTCCACTCCAACTTTTTAGCGTTTTCTTATTGAATTCCGATAATTATTCTTTAATTTCAATTTACATCTATATGTACTTGATATGTGCTTTTGTTAACATTTTAATACGTTTTTTTAGTAATTAATTAGCATGATACACGATAGGTGTAGTCAAACCAATTATCAAAAAATATAAATATTGCTTCAAACAGCTAGGTTAAGAAAAATATATGCCACGGCACTGTTTGGTGACATCGTCACAATTTGCTCTCGGGTGTTATTTGTCCTTGGATTCTTTAGTCATTGAGGGTGCATCCAGTCTATCCTAAAAACGGCGTATCGGCGTAATGACCTTGAATGGATTTCCAGTAATTCTATTGGCTGAAACATTCATCTGTCAGAAATTTTATCTGTCAAATTCATCTGTCAAAAATTTCAGCCAATAAAATTACTGGAAATCCATTCAAGGTCATTACGCCTTTACGCCGATACGCCGTTTTTATAGTGTGGATGCACCCTGAATGTCCCTTTTAGTGAGTTTTATGCAACCAACGTACATGTGACAGCAAATTGTCTTGCAAAATAAAAATATGCCAATGCAAATACTATTTGGCGCTATTTTTACAACGGTCGCTCTCCAAAGCTTCTGATAATTTCGAAACGGTTCGGCTTTTTCCGGTATAATGCCGCCAAATATTATTTACTCAAATTTATTATTTTCTTTTAATTTTTTAAATAGAATGCAGTGTTTTGTATATAAGAAACTTTATTTTATTTAAGGACATATGTGTGAAATACCTATGAAACATTGGAAACCGACATTATGCCACGATCCACGATAGTTTTTGCAGTTCATAGTTCACACAGCTTTTTAAGTTTTTAATGCCACATTTTCACAATTATCACGGGTTTGAGTAACTAAAATTTAAATTAAACTCACAAGATAGAAATAATTACTTTGAAAATGGACGCTTTAAACACTTTTCGGTATTTTTTCAATGAGGGCAGTTTAAATTTTGAGATTTTTTAATTTTTTGAAAATTCTGACTTTGACAAGAGAAAATTATTTCTGTTCTTGTTTATGGTTGTTCTTAGGAACCGCTATAGCAGCGCCAGATTCCGTACGACGTGTGCACCCCAAAACAATTATAAATTTTGGCGGCAAGCCGAGCATTCCAATCTAAACTTGTTTCCTTTATCTATGACTTAAATGTTTGTATATTTCTAGTAACCATGACAGTGAAACGGAATCTTCATCACCTTTATGTTTGAGCAAACAAGGATATAATAGTCAAATTGACGACAGCCCTAACATACGGTAGTATCCCAAGATTTAAATTTTACTAAAGCATATTTACATTAAACATTACATTTTAGAAATCTACCACCCATGATACCAATAAAAGAGGAATGGAACTTATCTGATATCTCAGATACGTCAAGGACACTCTCAGTTTCAGATCTATCCAGAACTTTGTCAGCTTCAGATGGGTCGTGCAATTTGACAGGTTCAGATAATGATGAAGATTTTGTACCAGTTTTAATGGGGTAACTATGTCTATATTACAATAAACCATCAGGGTTACATATAAAAGAATATACTGCAGGGGCAACATGAATTCTCGTCCCAATATTGAAGGATTGATATAGAGTATACTTAGAATATAAATGCATTTCCCACATAAGTCTATCTTTAGATTGACACAAGTTTTCTGTGCTTGCTGGGTGCTGTAAGCACTAAAGCAATAAGCATGATTTATGATGAAACATATGATTTAGAACTGTTTAAGGTTCTAAATCATATATTTGAAATTGAGGTTAAAGTCGTTCAAATAAACCAGTGACGTAGAATGTATAGGACATTACAGATCTATTGTGTCCCCCTTTCTTGAGTTATAAGTACTAGTTACTAATCATACTCTCAGGGCTTTGACAAAAGCCAGTATCTGAGACGGTTTTTACGAGGTTAGTTCTCCTATCTCCTATATCTGTATTACCAAAGTCATGAATGGTTGTTATCTCGGCGCACTCTCGGTGATGAGATGTTCTGGTGTTTTCCCATTTTCCCCATAGAATCTGCGTTCACCGTTGTTTCGTAACTTTCAATCTACTGAGGTGTTCATTGAGGAGACAGTGTCCTGTTAAAAACCCCGTGACAATCCGAAGATTGTTCTTACTTAAATCGAGGAAAATCTTAGATTTTTCTCGGTCGTAAGTTCTGAGAAATGTCTCCGCCCCCTTATTGCTTATTAGCGTTACTGTGGTCATTGTGTGAACCCTTATTTTCCTCAAGAGATGATTCTTCTTACCTTTACTCTCCATAGTTGATATATTTCTTCTACGTGTATTGCCGTATTTTTCATTTCAAACATTCAACCGCCTAAGTAGACGTTTACGAAAATGCATTTTTAGGGGTGGATCTTTAATTTCCACCATGAGTTACTCATTGTATTACAACTGTAATAGAGTCTTATTAAGCCTCGGTACCGTCGACTACGTTGTGTCGCTGGCTAAACTACAAATACAAATAATCCTAATTGATAGTTTAGTAACTAACGTCAAAATTGACAGTTGTTTAAATTTAGTACAAATTTTATTAATCTGCGACACTGCTTTGTTTTAGAACGAAGCTTTACACCTTAAAATACAAATAGCACTATTTCTGAACTAACCTGAACAAACCAATGAATATTTCTATGGAATTTCTAAAGATTGATACTGGAGATATTTTATTCCAAGTATTCAAGCAACAGAATTGGGTACAAGATTACTGATAGTATTTATTATCCCCATTTCAGTAATATACATGAAAGATTTTAAACTAGTTTACGAATCTGGCAACATTGTATGTAGCTTTTTATTTTGCCTCTCTGTCTGTCAACTGGTCATATATTTATCTCTGTCGTATGCATTACAGACCACGGAACTAAAGTGACCAATATGGTATACCTTATGTTCAGTATGTGCTTATAAAAGTATATTTGTAGAAGTAATAATTATGTTTTTTTTTAATATTAGATCTCATTCCACTCCAGACCAAGAAAATAGAAGTAGTCAACCTGACCCAGTAGAAAATGTACACCTACCACCTGCAAAAATGTACAAATATATTTCTTTTTAATTTCGAAATTGGGAGTTGACTTTTCCATGTTTTATTTTTAGGCGAAAAAAAACTATACGGTACTTTGGAGACATAACATATGAATCTTTAAAAAATCCTAGTACTACATCGCATTGTTGGAAAATAATTCAAAGCACACATGAAAATCAGAAAACTGAAATTAAAAGGTTACAGGTAAAATCAAGGAGATTAAAGAACAAAATTTCGTCGTTAGAAGCTCTTACTAAAGATTTGAAGCAGGAAATTTCAAATCTCAAGGCGCAAAGATATTAATCAACGTAAGTTATGTTTATAATATCGACGGTTGAAATGAGAAACTGCTAATACGCCACTTTCGTAACTTTACTGAAGACCTGTTTGCCTGTTTTATTTTGAAACTCTGTCGCTTGGCATTATGTTTCTTATAATTTATTCAAAATTTAAAATGTTTAATGCGCCAAACCATAGGATTATTAGGAAGAAAACCTAAGTAGATCGACGCAGAAAAATTCGCTGATTTCGATAACTCAATTTCCACAAAAGTGGCGTATTGGCCATTTCTCCTTTCAACCGTCGATATGAATATGTATAAAAAATCTTAAGTAACTCTAGAATTAATATTCTACTTCAGGGTTCAGTATTACAAGAAACATTTAAGAGGCTTCAGTGTGAAAAAATATGAACTTATGTGTTTGCTTTAACATTATGTTTTACTCTAAAAAAGCATTTAATATAAGATTAAAATTACATGAAAAATTTCCAAACACAAGACCTCGCAGAAGAGTACTTAAACGACCAAATAACAGTCATGAAGAAAATTGAGTGGAAAACATTGTGATTCTGAGAATTAACACTGTATGTCAGTGGGGTGGGCTTGAACAGGCAAGAGAGGACTGATGAGTCGACCACACGGCAGCGACTTGCCTGAACTGTACCTATATGAATATAACTTACCTGATAGAGTGTCTATAAAATATCTATTGAGTTGTATTGAATTTAACTATGTATTTTATTAAATTTTAATTATGTACATTCATTTATTCTATTTTGTGTCCAATTTTATACCTTCCAATTTTTACCTTGCGCTGCTGGTCCTACAGGCACAGTGTCCACCGAACCACCAAGATAAAAGGAAATAAATAAGCACTTTGGTATATACAGGGTCGCTGTTATATATGGAAACGGTTGATTATTAGGTAAAATATACAAGGCACCGCCAAAAGTTAAATACAAAAATTATAGGGTTTTTAAATGTCTATTGGCGAGTAATAAATTTCGTGGCACATCAAGTCGTGGCACATCAAAGTTTAATTTTTTTAAATAGAACCCTGTATATTATTACATATTTCAATTCTTCCTTCAATTTTAAGCAAAAATCGAAATAAACAGAATGTATCTCAAACCAACCGTTTCCGAGTTATTGAATTTTGAACATACTGCCATTCCTCGTTGACGAGTATTCGACACGCATCAGAAGATGGTCACATAAGGCATTTTCTTTCATGAGCTTTTCTGTGACTGAAAAGCCCGACGCGTGAAGTTATCTGCCTACCGCACTCCGGACATTCAAAAATCTCATTTCTTTGTTGTCTCTTTAGTTTTTGGTTGTCGCTGTTAACTGAGTTTACAATTCTTCTCCATTGAAAGTTCTATTGTGAGCTGCTTCTTCCCACTCATTCTGTAAACACCTTTAAGTTTTCGTGGAAAATGTCCTTATACCTTTTCAGTTGTCCACCCGGCCTCCTCTTACCGTCTACAAGCTCACCGTAAAGCAGAGATTTTGGTGTGCGATTTTCTTGCATTCTGCATACGTTGACCAGCCCAACTTAAGCGGGATTTTGTAACCATGACTTCAATACTCTCGCAGTTAGTTTTTTCAAGGACCGATACGTTTGAGACATGATGGAACCACCAGATTCTTAAGAGTTGTCTAAGGTGTGTCTGTTGCAACTTGTTTAATGCGTTCATGTGTCGGCGGTACAGCACCCAGGTTTCGCTCCCATATAACATAGTGGGGATTATAATTGCTCGGTACACTGCAAGTTTCGTTTTTGTACTGAAGTCATGATTGTAGGAAACCCTGTCTTTTAATTTCCAGAATACTCTTGAAGCGCTGCTAATCCTGTGCTGAATTTCAGAGTCAATATTTGCCTTATCCGAAATCAAACTGCCGAGGTAATTGAATTCCGCCACATATTCCAATAGTTATTCTCCGATTTTTATAGCATTGTTGTGATCTTCCGGGGGAGTGCACATGATTTTGGTTTTGTCGATGTTTAGCTTAAGGCTCAAAGCCCCGTATGCCCAGGTATATGTATGTGTTCAACATCTCTTGTAATTGTTGTAACGTGTTTGCAACTAGAGCGCAGCCATCAGCGTATTGAAGTTCTGTGATGAATTTTGTACGTGTTTTTGTCCTGAGTTTTTATGTTGAACAGACCGCCGTCGATTCTGTATCTAATGCCCAATCCTCTCTCCTGCAGTTTGCTGTCCACTATAATGGAGAGCGCTGTCATGAATATGTTGAATAGGAGAGGCGCTAAGACACATCCCTGCCTAACTCCTGTGTCTGTTAGGTTGTTTGAATATTATCACTTAAACAATTCGATTTAATTAACTTCGATGGGTTCGATTTGATTTAATGATGCCATTCTGCCGATGCCAGGGACCGTTTTTGATCATTTCTCCCGGAATTCATTAACTCAATGGGGGTGAAAGATACCCTCGCATAACCGCTAAGTACTTCTAATTCTTGTCTAGATTATATGCGTAATTTAAACATAAGATATTTTATTCTTCCTCAAAGATAAAACTCCATAGGCGCTAAGTCCTGCAGTCCCGGCGGACGGCCAACGGCTGGGATTTTGGTTAGCTATTCAATTATTCTCGAAATTGGCTGCAAAAGTTTGCTAATAACTCTAGAGTCTTGAGGCAGTGCCTTGTCTTGCTGGAAAACTATGTTTTCGAGATCTATTAGGGGTTAGATCATTAATAAGGGGTCCAAAGCCTACTAGTTAAAAGTGGCGAACTTTTAAAAATTCTGTATTTAGAAGGGGACTATAACAAATTATCAAGTGTGCTACATTTTTGGAAAAGTAATTTTAAGTTCTTTTCAGTTATTTAAAAATATTCAGGGTGTCCCAAATAAAAAATCAATTTTTCTGTTGATAACTCTTAAATTATTAATTTTAAAAAAATTATACTTAAACCATTAAATTCTACGTAAAAAGGTGTTTGGAAATGTTTTCATAAAAATACGAAATTTTCCATGGCAAAAAACTTAACAGCGATTTGTTAAAAATGCACATTTTTGAAAAACACCCCGTAACTCGAACCGAAACGGTAACAGATATCGATGTGTGGTTTTCGCCATCATGTTTTTGATAAAAATTGACCTCCAGACACCAATATTAGTTTTCGTCTATCTCCTATAGAAAAGGGTGTTTCCCTTTAAAAGCGTCCAATTTGGCCCACCCTGTACACACGTAGGTCAATTAATTAAGGTGTCAAGTAGCTGTTAACCATTCTTTAAAGCCGCGAACCGGTATTGGCGTCCCAGTCAACTTGGAAATGAAAATCGATGATAATTTCTGTGCAGCCTTAAAATCTTTAAATGTCATTTACTAAAAATTACATAAAAATTAAAACTTTTGATATTTACAATAAAAATTAATTTTTGAAAAGTTGAGTTTGTGTCTGGAAAGTAAATATCAAAGTGTTACAATTTAGATTTGAATTTTATAGAAAATTACTTTTAATATGTTTATTATATTGACTAGACATAATGTATAAAAAATTAGTTTCACAATACTTAAGTTAGACGTTTGTTATAAATATATAAATAGAAAATATAAATATCTTACAAAAAATAATATAAATAAATTATTCACAATCACTTTTTTTCTTTGGCAAATTTACAGTCGGTACATGCGCGCTTTTCATTCCACATTTTACTGGTATTTCTCATTTGTTGCGTTAAATTTTCCAAAGTATTGACACAATATTCCTCCCCAGAGTCATTTTCAGATTCAGTCTGAAAACAACAATATAAAATTAATAAATCAATTAAAGGAAAACATATTTTTCCTGGTTTTTATTTAATAAAATTGAGTTTGTTGAGATTTTGGTAACATTTTAGAGATTTTGTAGGATTCTAATAGGATTTTTGCTCTAATTTAGTAGGACGATTAGTGAAGAGTTGGCAACACTGATTAAAATCTAAACGGAATCCAGTTAGAACTGTCAGTGTCATCAATTCCTATGTTGAAGATGCTAGAGGATATCCAGGAAGTATGTATGATTTACACTCTGATGCAAAAAAAACGTAACGGAGAAATTCTTGGTCCAATTTAAAGTGTTTGGTTTGGCCAACCAACAATTTGCAATTTTTGAAGTTATTTTTCAATATGGCCAAGGTGGCTTTAGGGATTATTGTGAACTATATACTATTATGAAGTATCCATTATGTTCGACGTTTGGGAAATGCTCGGTAGGAGGGTTAGAGGTGGTACGCGAAGCGGTACCAGCTTCATTAAATGAACTTCACTTGGTTCTTAAAAAAGGATGGGAAAGCATAACGCAATATGATATATGCAGCCTCAATGACAGTATGAACGGACGTATACAGGCATTTATAGCAGGCATTATTTATTTATCGTATGGCAAGCACATCGTTTAACATATATTACAAAATACACGTAAAAATATAAACAATACAAAAAGATATAAAATATATAAATATAAAAAGAACACGGTATATCACAAACAAAATAAGCGCAACAGGAGACAAATACAGTGAGATTAAATACAAACGTCAAGATTACGTATATAGTCTATTGCAGCGTCATCAGCAGTCAGGAAATCGGAATAGTTTCCACCGTAAGCTCTCATCTTACACTCCTCCACTATGTGGCGTACGGTTTGTCTGTCGGCCCACAGTCGCATCTGGGTGATGGTATCTTACCCCATCTGTGAAGAGAGTCTGCACGCAACTGTATAGCAGGCAAGGAAGGCAATACAAAGTATTAGGGCATTTTTTACAATGTTTTTTTCTGTTTGTATATTTGAGTATTACATATGTTTTCTTTAATATCGTTAGTTCTTTTATCGTTATTAATGTTTATTAATACCAGGACTGTATCGTTAGTCTTTAATGTTTTTTTTTTAAATTTAGTATAGAGTATCCAATGCAGCGTAATGCGACGTTACGACAATAGTCACCAAAACCATCTCGTCATAATATTAAAAAATTACATCAAAAAGTAATGATAATTGAAAAAATTGCAAATTGTTCATTTCTCTCTTAAAAATTAACCAAAGCAAGTATTGAGATGAATTAAAAAATAAAATGCTCAGGACTCAGGAGTCATGGTTCTGACCGTAAAATTATATTTTAGGTAAATTTACACACGAAATTATTGCACAGGGTGTTTTAAAGTTAAGGTAAAAAACAACCTCTCGATTAACCTTGTATAATATGCCAAATACTAAAGTTTATAAAAAACTTAGTCTATGAATTAAAGTTGATATAATTATATACAATTTGCTAAAAAATTCATGAAAATAGGGCTAAAAATAACAAAAATATCAACACTTTAAATTTGATCAAAAATTTCTCCGTTGCATTTTTTCTGCATTCAGATGCAGATTGGTTCTAAGTAGGTGTAGATTGGTTCTAAGTAAGGGTGGGTTCCTATACGTTATACGTATTTGCATACAAATTGTTTACCTTAAATGTTGATGAATACCAGTCATTACCACTGTAAACATCAGGACTAGCCGGGGGACTGTCGTCATAAACTGAAGCGGTACCTTGTGACCCTAAACTGCACGGTGATGTCCAGGGAGTAGTCTGTTTGAAATCTACATATCTTTTGGTACAGGGTCTGGGCCCCGTTACCTTTTTGCAAGCTGGTTGTCTATTAATTAAAAAAAAACTGAAGTTTAGATAGATAAGAGTATACATACTAAACCAATGAATACAGAACAACAAACAAAAAATGTAATATACCAAATACATGTGAATGCGATAAATTTTACATTGGTGAATCATCTAGACCCTTAAATGTTCGAATTAAAGAACATAAAGATTATTTAAGAAAGGGAGATTTTCACAAAACTAAGATTTGTCAACATTCATGGGACACAGGGCACAGAATAAATTTCAATAACGCCAAAATTATAATGAAAGAAACGATAGCCTCTAAAAGAAAAAGAAAAGAAGCTTTTTTAATACAATCTAATAAAAATAAATGTATTGCTCATGCATCTGTAGATGTTAGTAATGTATGGCAATCACTTCTTTGATTTTAAAGAACATAACATACGTAAAAAATAAAAATAATCATACAGAAAGTTGGGGGATTTTTGGTTTTACCTTATTAAGTAATTGTTATCAGGTAAAAGGTTTTGAAGTTTAACTTGATATAATGTTATTTTAACAGAACGTCAACGGTTTTTGTAGACGTATCTGTTTTTAAAAACTAAAGTGTTCTCGAATAGTTGAATTTAAATATTTTAAATAGTTTTTTTTCTTTATTCTTTGTATTTTTTTTGCTTCCGACGCACAGTAGACAATATGTCCAAACCAAGTTGCAAAAAATAACATCCACAGTTAGCATTTATGGCAATAACATTAGATTGGAAACATTAGTTAAGAGGAAACCACATAAAACTAACAAAAAAACATATTCGGAGTCTCTTTCGAGGGGCTGTAAAACGAACTTTGCGCAAAACCTACATTTTCAGTTAATTTGTGTCCAATAACTGCCTTTTTTCTACAATTTCTTAAATAGTAGGCGTTGCATTCAAGTGACACAGTATTATAACAATTGAATCGGACGACCTTAGCTTACTGTCAAAAATTATTGTAAAATTGTCATAACGTGTTTTACGTAGATTCCCGGTTGGGGTAAATTTAATGTGAAGGTAAGTAAAAAAGTATCTTTTATTTTGATTTTTTGGATAAAAACTAGGTAAAGGTCAAAGTAGAACATAATCATTTAAGGTTTTTTTGATAGTGGCATATATTCTATCTTAGAAAAGTTAAGTCAAAAAAATCGCAAAAAATCGCAACATTAAATTTATTGGAAGGGTAAGCCTCCATGTGTATGTGTATAGTAACATCCTTTATGTGGATACTTCTCATAAATTAATTGTTATAGTAGCTAGAGCTAGAGAAGAACTTGAAATATAAAGTTACGTAACTTTTCTCAAGATTTCCGAAGAGGTATGTCATAAATGTCAAATGACATTTTTTGACAAATTTTGACAGTACCTAATTTTTTAAATTAAATGAAATGGATTTTTCTTTCAGATTTAAAAATGTGCACTTCGTGACCATTGCTTCCAGCTGTTATAAAACAAAATATCAGTAAATAGTAGGTGGTAAAATAAAATTTAGATATTTTTAATAGGTATAAGTTCTATTATTTTCTAAATTGTCATTGTTTAATTCTCAGAATATTATTACTTATTTAAAATATAATAATAACATAATATAATAATAAAATATTGATCACATATTGCCTGGTATTATTAGAGACCCAACTTATTCAAATGACAAACAATCTTGAATAAAAGTTCGATTGGATTAGTTATACTAGGGTTTTCTTATATACATTGACACCTCCTTTATGGTTTTTATTTGACGTTTCCGAAAACTGTTTCAAATGAAAGTGGTTTTGAATAAATTTGCCAAAAAAGTCTATTTCGCATATACAAAGTGCTTCAAAAAGTCTGGGCGTGGTTCAACTATCTTATTTCAAATTAGGTATAGGCTATGCTACAAAAAAGTAGTTAGGATTTTTAGGAGAAAATAAAAATCAAATAAAAAATTGGGTACTAATTTGAAATAAGAAAGTTGGGCCACACACAGGATTTCTAAGGCACCCTGTATATGCAAAGAAGACTGTTTTGAAAAATGTATTCGAGACCGTTAAACTTTTATTCAAGACACTTTTTTTCGAAAACGTCGAATAAAAAGATACAGAGGATGTCAATATATAAAACAAACCCTGTATATGGCAGAGGAGTAATAATTGCTCAATATTTGTCTGTTTCATCTTGTCTCTGCCAAAAATCGTAAAATTTAGTGAAATGTAAAATATTCTTACCGCATTTTGGTAGCTGTATTAGTCAAAAGATGATTTTTCCATTTTATGAATCCCCTCCACCACCCCCAACCACTCTCAAGTCAGCCAAAACTAACAGGGTTCACGGCCTACTGGCATAGAATGTTTTTACCAAATTTGAATAAAATCGTATAAAAAAAGAATTTTTGCAACATACTTCTGGATTTTTGCCCACTGTGCGACGAAGGAAAAAGATAAACTTTCCGAAACGTTAAGCATTTTTTTGTTCGTTAGGCAAATTTGTATATCTGTAAACCTAAATTCTGACAAGTAGTTTCCGTTTGGGATTAACGCAGAAGTGTTTACAAAAATAACTATTTTATTTTGTAGATTTTCTTGCAGTGGCGAAATACTCATATAGGATTTTTTGGAGAGATTATAGTATTATCACAACAGGGTGGCGCACCTCATTCGCTTCGGTTGATTATACGAATACGGAAAGATGTAGAAACAAAATATTTTACGGGGAGACAATTAAGGGAGACAATTTGCAAAATTTAAAATTATTTTGAAATATACAGGGTGTTTCATGTGAACAAAGATCCATACCTAACTTATGTTAAATGTGTTTAAAATTTTCGGTTTCTGAGTAGCTACCAAGTAGAGTTTTTTATGCAACTTTTTAATACCGACCAAGGGTACTTGAAAGATTAGAAAATTCCCTTTTCAGCATTGTATGCCGCATTGAAAATTTTTATTTCTTTCAGAATTACTAAAGTTTGAACTCACGCACAGTGCTTCGTCCCATGGACAAAAATCAAAAAATAACTTAAAATTTACTAATATCTGAATATATAATTTTATACTTATAGCAATGTTCAACCATCCTGTATATTATTTTTCATAAACAGCGTTTTTGTTAGCAAATATTTTCACTAAAAATAAATTTTGCGATCATTATCTCATCAGTGAAAAGAATAACATTCATAGTAGTTCTGTATATTATGAAGTTAAACGGGTATGTACTTAATTGAAAGCCACTATGGATATTGTTAAACAAGGTATGTACTTTAAATTTATTTCTAAACAAGTTCGTGATTGTTTAGTTCTTATTTATTTTTTAAGATGATTCTTAAATGGGTATAAAAATTTTACGTTTTCAAACTTCAAAAAGGCATTTAAAAAAAACATATCAAAACATATCGTATTTATTGAATATTTTTGTTGCCATATTCATACACTTTTAATTTTTGTATAGTTCACCTGCGTCTGCTTGCGACGAACTTTATTTTATAATACTTTTCAGATGGAGTAAAATTGATAAGCAATGCCGATCTGGCTAATACTTGGCTTGAACATAAGGACAAGAACTCAAAATTATTTGTATTTCAAAAAATATGTTCTTATTAGATATTGATGAACCTTCCAGTCAAATGAGACACCACTTGTGCCTGAAAAAGTCCACTATGTTGGAGCGAAACGTCGCATAAAAAAAGTGTCCATCTTTCAATTTATTATAAAATCTCATACCCAAGAAAAGGAAAAAATAATATATGGATATGGTCTATTAAAGAGATAACTATTAACATCCGAACCCCTCATACCCACAAAATGAACAGTAACAACGCGAAAACGTAACATATTAGAAAATGATGTACAGAAATATCTTATATGTGAGGATACTTCATCTACCTGTGATTTGGATACTATAAATTTGGAAGATTCTGTCAGCATTGATTCTCCTGAATCAGAGTAGTTACGATCTATGCATTTGGTTGTCCTAAAGTAAATTTATAGTATCTTAAGTTTTTTTTTAATTAAATATAACATTAATGTTTCTTTTTCATTAAAGAAAAACATTTTTATCTTATATTACGCTTATATTGTAGGAATCATGTTCTAATGTTATTTCAATTCATTTTTATCACAGGAATTTATTTAATACTTACACCGTTTTCATACTATAACTTATTATTTGCTTAGATGGAACACAGCTCCAACATTATTATTATTTATAAGATTTTTTTTATAAACGTGGGACTAAGAACATCATTATTTAGTACAATGAGTACGTACTTGCTTACAATAAAAGAGAAGTTTTGGATTTTTGTCCTCTAGAGCCATATGTTCGAAGCACTGTGTCACTCATGCGTTTATAGTGTCCCTAATTACATTATACAAAGAAACGAAGGTATGATATTGCGCAGGTTGGTCGCTACGTCACAGGTGATATCGGCACGCTCCGGGTGCCAATTTCAAATCGTCAAACTGATGACATAATAAATGTGAAAACTACTTTTCAAATGTAATTTTTACGAGTTTTGACATAACTTTTGAGGTTATGTCGTAATTCTTCCCTATTATAGGTCTTTTATTTATTAGTGGCAATTGAACAATATGGATATTTTTGTACGAGGGCAACGGCCCAGCTACGTCGAAACACCGGTTCCCATTAGAACACCGAAGTTAAGCGACTTAAGGCGATACTAGTGGATGGACGGGTGACCGGTTCGAAACTCTGTATCGTGCTGTTGTCCAAAAAAAAAGGCAAAAGCGTAAAATCTATTGACACACACTGCTCATTCACGCCGGTTCGAGGCCGGATGAGATCGGATATCTCGTGAGTAAGAATCGATTTAGACACTTGCCAAGTCGGTAGGCCATTGACCATGATATGGCCGAGGACCGCGGTTCGGATTCCGCGTAAACAAGTCCAGATTAGCCCTGGCAGCAAAAAGGAGACGTTAACTGAAATCTTTACGTTTTTTTATTTTTGTATGAGGTAGTGACGTCACAAGTGATATGCGCAAACTGAACGAAATTGGAGCCGCTATCGATCATACCTTATTTTCTTTGTATCATGTCCTGGATTTAAATAAAAAGTCTTCCAAATTTACTGCTGCTACCCATTTATTCTGACCAATTATTCATTTATTCAGACCCGAATTATTTCTGACAAATAAGAAATAAAACCTAAAGTCTATCTATCGAGAGGATACATAACAGTGACAGCTGTGTCTGTCATTTTAATTCCCACATAAATTAAATTTTCTGTCATTGTTTGGATGTCGTCTGCCGAAATTTTCGTATGCCGACTTTGCCTCAAATATAATTTTCTTATCATTAATATTATTATGGATTTCCTTTCTTAGAAGTATCCCCTACACAATTCTATCTAAACACTTCTACCTTTGGATATGTAAACTTGATTAAACAGATTGTATTTTTCTAACCTCATTTCCGGATAAAAATATTAATGTTTTAATATGACTGTCAGATTTAATTTCTGTGAATTTTTAATTATTAAATTCTTATAAAGAATGATTATTAACACACATTATTATCATTTAACTTCCAAATCTAACAAGACAGTAATATGAATAATACAAGCATTAGTAATATTAGATTAAATATCGAATTAGTTAATAAAATTAAAATATCACTCATTATCACAAAGTTTTTGTGTTAGTGTTAATTATTCACACCCAGTAACATACTTGTCGGCGCTCATTTTTTTAATTGTATCCAAATACATCTGTTCCCTTTTGATGATAAGATCGTTAATTATTTTTTGTTCCTCTACCCAAGCTCTAACATTTTTAATAACGTTTTTACTCTCCAAACATATTTCCTCTTTGTTTTGTTTTAAATCTTCTACGTCGGATTCCATTTGTTTGAGTGAGTCGATTGCATGCCTAAATATGTTGTCTATTTTATTATAATTACAAAAATAGCAGTAGTTTAACAAATTAATAAAAAAAAATCAATTTCTACTTGGAAAATTGTTAATTTTAAGTATACCGGATGCGTCTCAAAAGTGGCTCAACCCTATAACTTTTTTATTTTTCAGATAAAAAAACGAGATTTGGCATGTTAGTATACGAGAAAAATTAGGATCGATTGACGCATTCAATTGTTTTCGATCACTTCCTATTTCACCGGAAATGACTACAACTTTTGATTTTTAAATGATACTCCGAGTAGAATGACATATCATATGTCAACTTTTGATATTTTCGCTTAAAAAATTGTATTTTAAATTTCAATCTAGAGTGCCATGGCGGTGTTAAAAACACTAATTTTTAATCAAGGATCCTTGGAAAAATAGATTAGATCATCCAATATTTTTCGTGTCTTGGCCTGGCCAGTTAAAAGATGCCCAAATCATATTTTTAATCATATCTCAATTTTTTCAAATGGAACCTGGGTGGCTCAGAAACAGAAATTGTCGTTATGAACCGCATGTTACAATTTCAAATAAACCATATGCGAAAATGTCAGAAGTTGATATATATGTCATTCTATGGAGAGTGTCATTTTCTATCGAATAAAATAAAAAAATACCGACAGTGCCATTTATAAATCAAAAGTTGTAGTCATTTCCGGTGAAACAGGAAGTGACCGAAGATAATTGACTACGTCAATCAATCTAATTTATGTCATACACTAACATACCAAATATCGTTTTTATCTGAAAAAATAAAAAAGTTATAGGAGCGAGTGATTTTTGAAACGCACCTGGTATACATTGTTAAGATACCAAAATTGTTGCGATAGCAACATTATAAAAAAGAAAAACTTCAGCCTAACAATATATAGAAATTATTTTATTAGAAATTATTTTACTAGAATTGTCTTTTTTTCATCATCGAAAATTTCATCGAAAAATAATATTTTTTGAAAGTTCCTGTATATTTAGGAAACTTGGTTCAAAGACGTAACATTAAATTCCTTATAAAGATAAGTTTTCTCTTTGACTTTTTTCGATATTTGGTCTCCTAACCCCACCATATGAAGAGAGTTTTTAAAATTTGTCGTCATGACGTGTCAAAATGATTTTTTTATGATACTGGGAATGCTAAAGAAATCCCGCATAAAATTTTATGCATAAATCAATAATAAAAAAACTCTCATTTGATACGAACTTTACCCTGTATATTTTATATTATATACTTTTCTACTATACAACACTTTTTTAAAAACATTTTTATAATTTAAGTAACAATTTATATAAAAATTGACAATGACAATATTTATTTTTCTTTTTAATTATATTGAATTTCGCCTGGCTCAGTTTTTGCGCCGACCAACTTATACAGGGTGTTTCAAAAAACACGTGCCATCTCTCGTGTGGAGATTCCTCACGTAAAAATAAGATTTATTTTTCGTATCAACATAGGTCCGATTGTGTTTTGTTTCGTAGCTACAGGGTGTTAAAGTTTTAATATTTTTTCGATTTATTATAATTTTCTTCCAAGTACTTTTAGCATCTCGAATTAAATTTTGAGGGTAAAAGTTACTATAAATGCGACATATTTTAATCCTAAAAAGTGTCGACTTATTCACCAGGGACGTGCGTATGGGTTATCACTGGAATATTTTTCTAACAAAAGCATGTACGCCACTGACTTTTTTCTATTGTTAGCGACATAATGCCGATTAAAAGTTGTCTCTTGATATTTTGTCGATTTCAGCCTCTTTGATGAGATAAACGCAATTTTATTAATTTGCCTTGATCCAAGCCTAATAGCAACCTCTAAAAAAATCTAATTTAGAATAAAAATAAAAAATTTAATATCATTAACTTGCGAAAGTTTTAAATATGTACTCATTTATTCCTCATCAAATGAAAATAGTTACAGGATGTTAAAACATTTCAAAATTAGGTTTTTTGTAATCTTAAATCCATCTATCATCTTAAATACCTTTATTTTTTTATTTAAAATCACTGTAGGTTGGCCTAATAGTAATAATAATAATTAATAATAAATGGGGTAAAATATATAATTAATTAATTTTATTTTTATTTTAATTTTATTAATTGTGATTAATAAAATTGCGTTTATCTCATCGAGGAGGCCGAATTCGACAAACTATCAAGAGATAATTTTTAATTGACATTAAACGACCTACATAATTTTGATATAAAAAAAGGCACGTTTCATTTTTTTGGAAAAATATTCCAGTGATAACCCATATATGCACGTCCCTGCTAAATTTATCTCCACTTTTGTAGCATTAAGATATGTAGCTCTGACACTTACAGTAACTTTTAACCTCAAAATTTCATTCGAATCACTAAAAGTACTTGGAAGGAAATTACAACAAATCGAAAGATTATTAAGACTTTAAGACCCTGTAGCTACGAAACAAAGCAGAATCGGACCTATGTTGATATGGAAAATAAATCTTATTTTTACGTGAGGAATCTCCCCACGAGAGATGGCACATGCTTTTTGAAACGCTTTGTATAAAGCTCGGTATAAAGTAATACATGATTATAGGCGGCTTTATGCTCCCCCCCCCCGCAGGTGTTTCTAGAACGAGCCTTTTTCGGAAAGTCGATTATTGTTCAAAAAATCCTTATATTTTTATAATACTATATTTTAATTTATAATCAGCCTGTTGACAATCTGAGCTCCAGTGAAACAAGCGAAGATGACCGGTTGGTATTGAATAAGCTGGGATATTAGAGTTATACATAACATATTGACTTTTGTGAAAAATATATATATATATATATATATATATATATATATATATATATATATATATATATATATATATATATATATATAATGCAATTTTATAAAAAATAATAAAACATAAACTAAATTTATATAAAAAACCGTAAACTTACCGTTGTTGCTTGTCCATACTAAAAGTCGTCGACTGTAACGATCTTAATTCGTTCAGCAATTCCCTATTTTTCCTTACCAACGTTTCCTTTTCGGTATTCAAATTCTTCATACGAACAACGTACTGCTCGATTTGTTCTTTCAACACTTTATTTTGTTCACTTAGACAATTAATGCTACAATGAAACTGAGCTGTCTGCTTCTGCATTTCTTCGTTCTACAAACAGTTAGAACAGTAGTAGTCATACGTTATGCGGATAGTAAGGAGTTTAGAGAGGTCATAAGTTTTTAACAAAGGAAATAAAAATCCATATCCCTATATTAAAAAAAAATAAGCTTCATTCCGAACCTCGAAATTAGTGGTTTTGATTATACTTTATACTTAAGAGTTTACGATCATTCACAATGTTAAAAAATACAATTAAAATTAATAAAATATCCTAGTAACATACTTACCATAGTCAGTCATGTAGTCAGTTGTATCTATAGACAATTTTGAATAAAAAGATTAAAGAAGGAGCATATCAAAAATCTTAGATTGACCGCAACGGTGTCCTAGAATGGTTGAATTAAATTCTAATTTATCAGTGCCGTTCTAATTTTATTCAAAACGTGTAAAAATATGATGTAGGGTAGACATGGGGTAGAATAGATTTTGAAGTATAATTAGTGGGAAAAAAGCTCAATGTAAGCATTCAGAAAGTCAAAATTAGTGGTAGACATTTTTTCAATTAGTAGAAAAAGTTATCAAACTTTTAATTTTCCACTAATTATACTTCAAAACTTGCGAGAAATGTCATTTTGGCCTTTGATTATCTTCCGCCAAGAGAAATTGTGGTATTGTGGTTAGAGATCAAAAGTAGATTGTTATATAAGATATACAGGGTGTCTCAGATTTTAATCGGAAAAATTTAATAGACGATAGAACTTGCAAAAATAAAACAAAAAGTTCATATCAACTTGTAAGATTTAAATTGTTTTAAAGGAAAAAATAGGCACGCCTCTGCTTTTCTAGAAGTTTAATATTATTTGATTTAGTAATTAAAAATATTATTTTTTAGTCTCCTGATTTTTTTGTCTATCTTGCTTACTTCTTGCGAAAAAAATTAAATTCATTTATTCACTCCACCCTGGATAATAAATTAAATAATAATGGTTAGGTTATAGACAAAAAAGTCAGGAGACACAAAAATAATATTTTTAATTACTAAATCCAAAAATAATATTAAACTAAAAAAGCAGTGGCGTGCCTATTTTTTCCTTTAAAATAATTTAACAGTGATGCCTCACCGCCGCCCCTGGCCATTAAACTTAAATCTAATTACATCAAATTAAGTCCCATAGTAAGTCTTATAAACGGATAAAGTTATATCAAAATCGATTAAATAGTTTTTCAAATATCTTAATTTTTTTTCTTTTTTAAGTAACTTTAACACCCTGTATCTCGAAAAGGAAGCGTTAAATCTTACAAGTTGATATGAACTTTTTGTTTTATTTTTGCAAGTTCTATCGTCTATTAAATTTTCCCGATTAAAATCTGAGACACCCTATTAGGCTTTCTCTATGGATACAACTGACTAACGCAAGCTGTTGCTAGGACATTCTATTAATTTTAATTATGTTTTTTAAACATTGTGTATAATCGTAAACTAAAAAGTATAAAGTGTAATTGAAACCACTAATTTATTTCAATAATTGCGAGGTAAGGAGGAAGCTAAAGTTAAAGGTTTGTACTAATTGAAAATTATTACCACTAATTTTAACGTTCTAAATACTTAAACTTCATTCAGAATCTCGAAATTAGTGATTTCAATCAAGCGTAGAAGTTTGTCCCTCTAATTTCAATGTAAGCATTCAGAACGTCAAAATTAGTGGTAGTAATTTTCAATTAGTAGAAAAAGTTAACAAACTTTTAACTTTTTCCACTAATTATACTTTAAAATTTGCGTGTCCTGTCATTTTCGCCTTTGATTATCTTTCGTTAAGGGCGATTCCACAAACAATACATTTTTTTGTTAATTTTAAAATGAGACATTTTTTAAAATATTTGTACTTTTATTTGTAGTATAATGCCTATAGTACATAACAAAACTAGAATAACTTAACTTTCTAATCTAGTGCTCCTTGAAAATAGTCAGAACAAAATAGTTTTGGTTTTCACAGTGAAATTCCAAAAAATCGCTTTGTTTTATCAAGGTGGCTATGGTTAAAAAAAGCTGAGCAATGCGCTAACGCTGTCAGTTTTCTTTGCGCTTCTGTTTGAGTGATAGAATTATTGTGTTGTTACTCTTTCCAAGAAAGTATATTTTGTGATAAAATATTATAAGTATATCTAAATTTTATGTCCCGTTAGTAAACAAAATATACAATAAATTGATATATAGCGATACTTCAAGCCAAGAGGTTTTTACATAAGATAAAAAATATAAGTTTTGTGTGAACAAATTCTAATGTTTTAACTGTTTCTTTTTTAAAGGTTCTAGCTTTGTAGTTTTTTAAAATTAATTTTTGTCCCGTTAGTAAACAAAAATTATATTTTAGGACGGGAAAAATAGTTTCGAACGCAAACAAAAAATCAAAGCCTGTGTTTCGAATTACAGAAAAAAGATTTATGAAAATGAAAATTTAAAACAAAATTATTTGAAAAATTATGCTAAAAATCAGATAAAATACAGGAAAAAACTAAAAGATTTGGCCAAAAATAATATCGCATTGAAAGTGGAACTGAACATTAATGAAAAACATATTGCCCTATAACACGGCTCAACGCCTTGGAAAAGCTGTAAGAGCGGCAAACAAATCACTTCCTTTAGATAAAAATAAGAAAGTGGTCGTTTTAAGAAAAATTCTGGAAAAAATTGAAGCAAGTTTAAAAATACAAAATATTAGCAAGTTTACCAGTCCGTCAATTGATAACAAACGCAAATTATCACAGGAGACAATTGAAAAAATTCGAAATTTTTATTTACGAGAGGATATCAGCAGGGTGTCTCCTAGAATGAAAGACCGGGTGAAAATAAAAAGAGGCGATCATGTCGAATACGTTACAAAAAGATACATACATGTATCTTACTATAAAAGAAGCCTTCCAGATTTTTACAGAAGAGAATCCAAATACTAAAATAAAACTAAGTTAATTTTATGAGCCCAGACCATCATGCATCCTGCTTAGCAGCGCAATGCCACATAATGTGTGTGTGTGCAAATATCATGCAAACGTTTTTTACATTTTGGAAGTTCTTCAGAAAAACATCACAACTTTTCCTAAAGACCACAAAAGTTTGATTTCTGAAATATCCTGCAATTTACACAGGGATTTTGCATGCTGAACGAATGCAGTAAATGTAAGGAAATTGATTTAACCTTTTCCTGTTAGTTGATAGCAAGCTCACATTATTTCAAATCCGTTGATTAGCACCATATATTGATTAAAAAATACCGAGATCAGAAAAAAATACAATTTTGAAGTGCTTTTAGGTTAAGGATTAGGCTTTGACAGTTTTTCCTATATGTTGATATTATTTGATTGCATTAAATTAGGTAATTTTTGAATTTATTGTTTTAAAAATAATAATATATCCTGTTGGAAAAAACTGTCCCGTTAGTAATGTCCCGTTAGTAAACATAAATTACCACCAAGAACCTATACACCTGATAAGTAAATGAGAGTAATATGCTTAACTATTTTTTAGGTGGGACCTTGACCATCCTATATTTTTACATTTTGTGTCAGGCGTTCAAATTCACAGGTCTGTCTCTCTGAATTATTTTATTAAGTTTTTTTTGTCCCGTTAGTAAACACATGTTTTTGTAATATTTCCGCCAATTTAATAAATATTCAAGTAATATCTTTTTGGCAAATTATTACTTAAAATCATTGCTAACAAATATTACAAGGTCATTGTTATATGAACGATATAAGATATAAATATTTTTCGAAAACATTCTATTTTTCGTTCAGTTTGTCCCGTTAGTAATCATGGAATCGCCCTTAAGAGAAATTCTGGTTAGAAATGACAAGTTTCTTGTTTTCTAAGCTAATTATTAGGCTCATTAATTACAATCATTCTTGTAGAAAAATCAGGCCGAGTTCTCGGTCTCGTTCTCGGCATAAAAACGCCGAGATTATCGGCTACGGCCGAGACTGCTCAAGATCGTCAAATTAGCTTATTTTTGAACTTATCGTGCCACCTATCGACGAACAGTAGGCAATATGTCCAAACCAAGTTGCAAAAAATAACATCCACAGTTAGCATTTATGACAATAACATTAGATTGGAAACATATTAGTTAAGAGGAAACCACATAAAACTAACAAAAAAAAACATATTCGGAGTGTCTTTCGAGGGGCTGTAAAACGAACTTTGCGCAAAACCTACATTTTCAGTTAATTTGTGTCCAATAACTGCCTTTTTTCTACAATTTTTTAAATAGTAGGCGTTGCATTCAAGTGACACAGTATTATAAAAATTGAATCGGACGACCTTAGCTTGCTGTCAATAATTATTGTGAAATTGTCATAATGTGTTTTACGTAGATTCCCGGATTACCGAAAATCGGGTATAGTTCGTAGTCGCATTACTAGCGAAACCTTTGATAGTATAAACAGTAATATTCATTTATGTAAAATAGTATATGTTTATTCTTTATCATTATATTAAAAACATGACTACAAATATAAATCAAACAAAATATCAACAAAAATAGCATTTATTTATTAAATAATGTTATATTATCTTTACTTACTTATTAATTATTTTTACTTAATTATTAATTAATGATTAATTTCATTAAAATATAAGACACTTAACAAAAAATAATAAAAAAAATGGCTATTTCCTGTTAAACTGCAATGCTCAGCTTTAATTTTAAGCATTAAAATACCAATGTCCTTTTACACAGTGGCGGATACAGAGGGGCCCGCGCCCCCCTTAAAATCTATGAACTGGGTTAAATATGAGACTTTTGGGTTAAAAATGGCGCACTAAAAAGCATATTCTACATTACTTTTTATTTGGTTCCCCCCAAAAATAAATTTCTGTATCCGCCCCTGCTTTGGCATTTGGAGTATTTTCTGTGATATTTATTCTCAATGCTCAAGCACCATTTTTTTCTTTTTTAGTCTGTTCTCTTCTGATGGACTTCCTGATAAGCCTTTCTTGCGAGCGTGAACCATAAGTTCTTTAGAATAAAAATATTTGTGAGAATTGTTTCTAACTACCGTTCTGTATCAATATTTATGATGTGACCATATTATTAAATCGTGTTCTATGTTAAACCTAATATTTTTTCCATATTTGTTTTCAATAAAAAATGCTGATCTATCTTCCCTAAATCATTGAGGCCCGACAAATATAAGTGTAGCGTTACTTACAGCACTATTTTTTTGTGAATTGCCAGTTGTTGACTCTTGTGAAGCTGAGGCACTACACATATCGAGAATTTCACTTCATGTTTTATATTTTTAACTTTAACATAATCTCTAACATACTGTTTCCTAATGCACCTAATGCTTGTTTACAATTCGCAACGGGCGCAAACTGCACGAAGTTAGATCAAGAAGTCAGATCAAGCCTACTACATACTATACCGCATTTGGCGCATTATCCTATTCCATTCTATACCGCGTTAGAGACATCTTCAATGCTGAAATAAGCTTGGAGGTGGGGCTTAGAGACTCTATGCTTTCTACATGGTATATTATGGAAATACGCTTCCCGGACGGATGAAGAATCACCTAAATAAACATTGAACGAAATGTTAAACGTTAGTGACTTATTACTTCAACAGAATTGTGCTTTTATATGAATTACTCGTATAACCTACTAACAAGTAAAATTGTTGTTTGTAATTATTCATCTCCATACAAAGTTCTGAAACTAACAGCTTAAAAAAAAAGCGTCTCTAGCAAACAACTATTTAGAAAGAATATGATGAAACACGGAATAATTTGAAAGGATACAATGCTGAAAAATTACTTTTTTAGCGTGTAACATTACGTTAGATTCTGATTATACATTATTATTAGATGTTTTTCATATAATAAACCATTAAATAAGTATTGCATCGTGACTCGGTCTCGTTCTCAGCCGAGACTAAAAATCCAGGTTCGGACGGACCTTAATGGATACCACTGACTACTGCAAGCTGTTACTAAGATATTCTATTACTTTTAATTGTATTTTTAGACACTTTTTGAGTGGAAAACGGAGATGGTGCGAAAAAACAATGACCAATCAGTGCGTCGTCGCATGATTGAAAATCCTCCTTAATACACCGAGTGTGCAGGCGGCAAAGGTTTCACCAATTAGATCTAACAGTCCGAGCAGTAGTAAACAAAGCAATCAGGTGACGCAGTAGACTAAATCTGATCAACGAAAAAAGATAACAAGCACCGAAATTTGCACGTTACGCATATTCAGCATATAGGCTTGGTGCATTCTCCGCCGGTGCTGCCACTATCGGAGAAAATCGTAAACAACCGGCATATACAAATACAAGGGTTTAAATAGCGAGTATACGAAAAATTTATTCTATAATTATTCTAAAAATGTTAGGAAGTATAATTTATGAAAATTCTAAAAATAAAAATAAAAAAGTAAATATTTTGATATCTTCAGAAAATCTAATTTGTAATATAATTTATTATTCAATCTAATAAAACTTTTTAAATGAGTTCAACGACGGTAGCTAGTATGGTTTTACGTATCGATTTTGCTAGCGGAGGCATAACTGGGGCTATTTCGGTTATAACAATTTTTTCTAAAGGTACATAATTGTAATTTTAGAAGACATTCATTAAAAAAGCACTAGTTGATTAAAACAAGTATACCATTAATATTGCAAATTATAATTTATCCTCTCATAGTGTATGCCTATTTAATATTTTGATTATGTAACGAGCAGTTTGTTTACTCACTTGTTTCGTCGAGCCGCTTGAATCCATTTTTGCTTTTGGTCAAATCGGTGTGAGAAGTTATGAAGCTATAAAATATTGTTTCGGGAGTTGAATATCCGGGAAAGTTGAGTTATTGAATGTTATTGCACCCAACAACCACGTAATTACGCCCTCCTTAACGTGTTAACATTTTTTCGATAACTTTATTAACATTAATTTGAAATTGTCACAACACAAAGCGACGCCGACGCCCAGTTCGGATTTGTTTTCACTTAATTTTTACTACCCAAAACAGCGTTATATCACACAAATCTCGTACCTGAGTGTTTTATAGTTTCAATAACTGCACTATTAAAAACTAAAATACTTAAATATTATGACAAAGCCACGATTTTAATAATATTTCAAAGCGATCAACATCGGAACTGCGTGAAATACTGATCGAAAACTTCTGATTACTGCCGTATCGAGCGCTGCGGTCGGAATTTTTAAAATCAACTGAAATGCACCAAGCCTATATCTATTGAGAATTTTGTTTATAAAGTAATACATAGGGTTAAGCCTTAACATCAAATAAGAAACCCGGCAAAGTTTTTGTGTGTAAATTTCAAGTCTATGACGATCCGTTTTTTTCTCAAGAAGAAGCATTAAATTCAGATGTTCTGCAATAACTTACCTCACGTTTTAAGCTATATTGCCTATTCAAAATATTGCTTATTTCAGTCTTCAAACTCGCCATTTCCTCTTGGGCACAAGCCAATTGGATACATTTAGAACCGTTGATTTCCTGAGCGGTCTTTTTTACATCGTCCAGCTGTGACGTCTTAACTTCCAACTCCTGCTTCAGACGATCGATTTCTTTTTCGAGATTCGATATGTTTGCGTCATTCGAATCAGATTGTTGAATCTGTTGGTTCAGTTCATCATTTGCTTGTTTAAGATCGGATATTTGTACGTCTTTCTGTTTTACTTCTTGTTCTAAATTGGTATTTTTCTCTTCGGTTTCGTTCAGCAAACGTTTCAAATCAATCACCTACAAACAGTTAAATAGTTATAGTAAAATTTATATTATTTACATTTCTGTAATACAGGATGTTCCGAATTGTATTATGGAAATTTCGGCGGCATATCCTGCAGATAAGAATAAGTAAAAAAGTCCGTATAAATAAATGTATGTCATAAAATGTTTAGTTTAGGAGATATAGGGTGTAGAAATTTAATTTTTATTTCGATTTTTTCATATAATTTCTGAAGTAAAGTTAATATTTGGATGAAAATTGGTATCTTGGAGTTTATTGACATGAGTAATTTGATTTTGAAGTCAATATGACTCCTACTTGTAGGGAGCGCTAAAACTACTGAGTAAAAAATTATACATTTACGACGTTTTTTACATCAAAAAAGTCTCTTGGTAAAAATCGCTACGAGTAATGGTTCTCGAGATATTTAAAGTCGAAGTTATCAATATCTGTCGTCATTGACATAACCTCTACAAGTAGGAGTCATATTGACATCAAAATCAAATTTATATGTCAAAAAACTCCCACACACCAATTTTCATCCAAACATTGACGTTACTTTAGAAATTATTTGGAAAAAATCAAAATAAAAATGAAACTTATACACTCTGTATAGTCTGTATCTCCGAAACTAAGCGTTTTAATTCAGATTTATATGAACTTTTTTGCTTATTTTGGATAAGCAAAAATATTAATCTGAGGAATATGCTGCCGAAGTTTTCGGAATACAGTTCGGACCACCCTGTATATAAGGGGTTTCAAGGTTTCTCAAGGAATCGCTTAGACATATTTAAGGTGGAGACAATATGTTCATTAATTCATGTAATTAACATCTATATTGGCACAAGTAATTTTTATCAAAAAATATTTGAAGCAGGGTTGGCATGATTTAAATCAAATGATTTAAATCATGATTTAAATCGTGATTTAAATCAAGTGATTTTTGTAATTTTAATCATTGATTTAAATCAAAAAAATAATTTTATTAAAACTTTATTATAAATCAAAAAATAACTGTAAAAGTTATAAAAATGTGTCCTAGAAAACTATAAAAAATATTTCTATAAAAGATATAACAGATAATAAATCGAAAAGTAATTGCATGTAAATGTTATAAAACTATATAAAAATCTATTCATCAATTTAAATGTTGGACCGATTTTTTAAGTAATTTCGTGTGAATCCATTAGACCAATAAACGCGGAGATTTATTTTAAAATTTATGTATAAGTGACAAAAATTCGCTGTTTGAATACATATCATTCGCAGTCTAGTGCAGAACTAGGTTCTTCTGATATACTATATCTTCATTCACAAGAATCTATAATAATCGTTGTCAGGAAATATGTTGTTTTATTTTTTTTTGAAATGGTTGTATTTTTCCAAATTCTTACCGACATTTTGATCCTCAGTAAGTATTTTACACTTTGACATTAGATAATACTAATTTCATTCTCGACTTAAGAGTATTTCCGAACAATAGTGTATTGTTTTATTAGGAGTAAAAATTATACTGTTTTTGATGAATTATACTCCTTTGAAGGACCATCGTAAAGCTATTCCGACGTTACAAAGAAGCACAAAAAGTACATTTTTACTACTCCTAATAGAACTTGCATACTATTTTTTTAAAACATTACAAATCATTTTTAATCAATTTCAAATATTGCAAATAATATAAACAGTAATCAAGCAACAATTTAATTTGTACACTCGTTGAATTTGACACTTAATATCAGTTTAATAATATATTTTTGTACTTTTGTGCTTAGGCGTAACAGTGCTTTACTTTTATACCTAGGCGTTAAAATTAATACTCTTGAGACGTTTGAAAAAAAATCCTTTTGATCTGAAGCGAGCAACTTTTTTGCGAAATATATTGGTGACCGATGTGGAAAAATGACAAACGCACCCTAGAATTATTAATGTTATCGATAACGGACAGAGTTATAAAGATTTAGCCATTTAGGATAGGACTTTAATTGGAAATAAGTCCTAGTCATTTGGAAATCCGATTTAAATATTGTTTTGAATTAAAATCAAAAAAATCTGATTTAAATCAAATAAATCTGATTTTTTTGATTTTTTTAAAAAATCATGATTTTTTCCAACCCTGATTTCAAGTATCTATAGTAAGAACATAATATACGGTCTATTCTTACAAAAAAAATATATTTAATATACTTATACAATATGTCTCCGGATTGTCTTTACAAGCGGAAAACTGTTTTATTATTGGAATTTTGAGAAAAATGCTTTCTTCATAAAAAAGTTTGCTTGTTTCTAAATATCCTCCTAAAAAAGTCCCTAATAAACCTAAACATTGTTCCTAAACCTTCCTAAAAAAGTCCTAAAAATCAAAAGGCGCTTCTATGGTAATATATTTTCGATTTCATTCTTTGATAGATAGATATTATTATTTTGATTAACGTCATATTTTTTACTGTTGTTAAAGTATCACAGTTTCCGATAAGTATTATCACACTTTCTCTAACTTTCTGCTTTTTTAACATTTTAAAACTACAAAAACTATCAGGTTAACTAAAATTCTATCAATAACAATCTACCAAAGAATGAAAATCATCACGAAATTAAATTACCATAGAAACGCGTTTTGATTTTTAGGACGAGGAATATTCAACCCTATTTTTATGTCCTTTTAAATTTTCTCTCAAACTATATGGAAATTTGCAAGATTATAAACGGGATTAACCATTTTAGAACAGGCAAAAATTTATATAATGAATGTATTTTGCTCACAAATGTCAATAACAAAAAAGTTTTTCTGAATACGTCAGTCGATCCTGATTTATGTCTATTAACAAATCAAATCTGGTTTTTTTATCTAAAAAAATTAAAAAGTTATAGGGGTGAGTTGCTTTTGGGAAAAACCCGGTATAGTGTGTCCAATACTTTCAGGGACTACTTAAAAAGACTTGAGGAAGGAGTCTCATAAAAATATTCAAGCATTACAGAAGGAAACACTCAATTTATTGACAGTTTTATTTGACTTGAATTTTTGCTAATTTGTTGGGTTTTTCTGAGATTATTTTATGTTATTATTTAAAGGTCCATGCAGGTGGCGGCTCGTCAGGTGCAGTAGGTGAAGGGGCACTTCCCCGAAATAATACTCAAATTAAAGAAAAAACTTTACTGCTTAAAATATTAATTTAGTTTAATATATTTACATGTATCTAAATAATAAAATGTGGCGGACTTCTGCATAATAGGCCCATCGTATCGTTAATTCCGAATTCCGTTAATAAGCCGAAAAAGTAGCATTATAGGCTCGCAAGTGCCTACAAGCCAGAAATGCAAGTGAAAATGTTTCTATTTCTGAGGCAAGCGGCTGCACGGTTTCCATGGTAACGTGACGTCAACCTAGCGGCAGATGTAAATCCCCCCGCCCAGTTGTTGTTGTTATTTATTGGTGTTATTGTTAATGGCTTTTGTTGATTTAACTTGTTAATTTTTGCCGATTTTTGCTGTTTGTTTTGTTGTTGTATTTCAACACTGATTTGTGTGTGTGTGTGTGTGTGTATGTGTTAAAAAATGAACACAATTAATGACTTGGTGTGCAATTTATTGGAAACTCCCTTCAGACGGTGGACAGATGAAGATAAGAGGCATGTTTTATCTCAAGGGCGACCAACTGAAACTTTAACCATAAATTGCAAAAAAGAAATAAGAAAAAGTGGTAAATCTTATATTAAATTTAAGTCTTCTTGGTTTTCTGATTTTAATTGGCTATGTAGTAGTATTGTTTTACAAAAAATATTTTGTTGGTCGTGTTTCCTATATATTTTCTAATAAACATGGCATTTGGAATAAAGAAGGGTTCACTGATTTCGTAAATATAACAAGATCTTTGCATAAACACGGGGATTCTGCAGAACATTTAAAATGTCAGTTAATGCTAATAAATTTAAAAAAAATCAAAATACAATAGCCGATGCTTTAGAAAAAAAACGTTAGACTCTATAAGTTTAATTTTAATGAAAATGTTCGTTTAAATAGGCTTTAATGAATATGCATTAATATATACATTAATTAAATGACGATATTACTGATAAGTTTGCATCAATAAAGAACAGAAAAATTGAGCTGATTTACAAAAATTAGTAAGGTTAGTAATAAGTCAAATTTATTTTCGTTAATATTGCTTAGTAAACATTAATGTAATAATAATTAATGTAATAATTGAATAATAATTGAATGGCTCCTCGGTTGTAACCAACAATTTTTTCAATATCGAAATTTCAGTGAAAAAAACGAGGAAAAAACGCTATACCTATACGAAAATTACAACCTTATTTCACTGAAATCTCTATTTTGAAAAAATGTCTGTTACAACGTTTTTCGGGGAAGCCATTCAATAATTAGTGTTCGCCATAAAGTTGGATCCATATGGACAGTTTTTTTGGTATTAGAGTTTAAAAAAAACTTTTTGTGGCAATCAATTCTGCTTTAAAAACAACTTAAAATGCACCAAGTCAAAGTTGAAACATAATTTTGTTAGTCACTTTTTTTTAAATAATAATAATTTAATCCTTTAATAATAATAATAATAATTTAACATTTAAAAATAATAAATTTAATTAATTTTTAATTTTTAAAAATTTTAAATATTTTGTATTTGACAGCTCCCAGATGTTAGCTGTCAACTTTGGCTTGGTGCATTTTAAGTTGTTTTCAAAGCAGAAGTGATTGCCACAAAAAGATTTTTTAAAACTCTAATATAAAAAAAACGTCCATATGGATCCAACTTTATGGTGGGCACTGTATATAATGTTTATTATATTTAATTTAAGTAAATTTAATTAAATTTTCACTGGAATGCAAAATAATGTGTTTATCAAAAACTGGTTGTATCTCTTTTTACTTAGTGCGTTTTAGCACAAACTAAAACGAAAATATTATAGGTATTATTGTATAAATAATAACAAAAAAAATGTTGACAAAACGGTGAATGCAGCAAAATTTCAAATGATATTTTAAAAAATGTTGACAAAGTGTTGAATGCGCCAAAAAAATTTTCGCCCGCGGCGCAATTTAAATAATTAACTCTTCACCTACTTTTTTACCCACGAGCCGCCACTGGGTCCATGTACATTAATACCTGACAATGAAAGCTATTCTGTCATATCAATTCAAAAGTAGATTGTATTTTCTATCATTTTTGAAATGTCATCTGTTGTTACTATTCTATAAGAAAAATGATCATAAAAATGATCATTAAAAAAATCTGCTCTAGATAAATAAAATTTTTTTATCTTTTTCCCTTTTTTTAAGTATTGTGTAAGGAGATGTACACTTGAATATAATACGATCGAAAAAAAGCCGTCAGAGTTAACTTGGAAACGAAGATCGCTGTCATTTTAATGTAAAAATATATGGTTAGGTCAACTTGACGTCATTTTTTTCGATTATACAGTTCTATCAAACGGGCTACGTTGATAGATTTTATTCTTTCCGAAACAGTACCCTCTCTACAATTCGTGGTTAACTGTATTTACATTTTATATCCTAATATTTGCAGTAAAAATCTTTAATAAAGCTAATAATACTTACCGATTTTTTGAGCATATCTATCATTCTGTGGTAGAACTCAACTTCACATGGACAACTATCGCAAATCTCTTGGCTTTTAGACGTCTGATCACTACTTCGATTACAAGTACTACTTTTACAACTTGCTTTAAGTTCTTTTTGAATCAAGTTTTTGTTTAACTCGGAATTAAGTTCCATCATCTATAACATAACACGGATGATATTTTTTATATTACAAATTTCTATATACAATGTAATATAAAGCTAACCAGCGAGAGATTGACCTATTTCGACAGACGACTTTCAAAATCTGACAGAAAATAAAACAATTTATTTTTAGTTGAAAGGACAAATAACAATTTTGTCACTGTCAATATTCATTCGTTAGACAGACTATAGGATTTCTATTTTTACTGTTACTGAGAATTTTACTGTTAATATACATACACGTGCTTTGAATAAAATAATAAGGGAGGGCATATCAAAAATCGGGCTCCTAAAATAGCCTACTTAAATTCCGGTTTATCAGTGCCGTTCTAATTTTATTCAAAACGTATAAAAATCTGATGTAGGGTAGACATGGGGTAGACTCAATAATTTGTTGTTTTATTTATATTAAAATTGTTATAACAATATACAATTCTAATAAAAATAAATAATAAGTTATAATAATTGCTTTGAATACGCTTCAGTAGCGTATTCTATGCGTATAATACCGGGTGCGTCTCAAAAGTGGCTCACCCCTATAACTTTTCAGATAAAAAATCAAGATTTGGTTGCATTGATGTTAGTACATGACGTAAATTAGGATTGATTGACGTATTCAATTGTTTTCGGTCACTTCCTGTTTCACCGGAAATGACTACAACTTTTGATTTTTAAATGGCACCCTTGATATTTTGTTACTTAGAAAAATAGAATAGATTGACATATCATATGTCAACTTTTGACATTTTCAAATATGGTTTATTTGAAATTGCAACATGCGATTCATAACGACAATTTGACTCGAAATACCAAGTGTGTGGTATCAAATTATTCGTAAAAAAATGCTTTTTCCAAATATGCTAATGACCCACCCTCGTTCCATTTGAAAAATTGAGATATGATTAAAAATACGATTTGAGCATCTTTTAATCTTAAATAAAAACTATTAGAGGATCAAATCTATTTTCCAAGGTTCCTTGATTAAAAATTAGTGTTTTTAAAACCAGCCATGGAACTTTAGATTAAAATTTAAAACACAATTGTTTTAAGCGAAAATATCAAAAGTTGACATATGCTATGTCAATCTATTCTATTATACATATAAGACATTTTTATACATATTTTTAGCAAAAAATTATTATGTAGCCCTTATAGTAACTTTTACTTTCAAAATTTCATTTGAATCACTAAAAGCACTTAAATAAATAATAAATCGAAAAAAAAATTAAGACTTTAACCACCTTAGCATACGAAACAAAGCAGAATCGGACCTATGTTGATATAAAAAATAAATCTTATTTTTACGTGAAAAATCGTCAAACGAGAGATAGTACATATGTTTTGAAACACCCTGTACAAAATAAAGTATAAATAATAAATTCAAAAAATTATACACGTATAGTCACGTGGCTTAACTTCCAAAATAATTATACAATTTGACAGAAGATCATTCAATATAGATAGCAAACTAAGAATAACTCTAGGAAACTTTGAAAGAGCTAATCACGGGGGTGTCACTTGTATGGGAAAACAGGCAACAGTCAAATTTAAACGTGCCAGGACCAACGACAAAGAAAGCAACATCTGCCAGGCATTGGCTTTCTTTGTCACTCACATTGCTTAAATCATGATACCGCGGCCATTTTGTCAACAAAGAAGCTGGCCGGGCTGTCCTGGCAAGTGATTTAAAACAATTTTGCTTTTTTACAATATTAAATTACCATTTGGATGTATTTAATGCGATTATTCAGTTAACTGGTAAGTCAGAAATTACACACAAATACTTTATTCGTAAATACAACTAAGATGTAAACGTATTTTTGTATTTTTAGATTTCAACTCTTGCAAAGACCCGCCGATAGAACCTGATAATAATATCAAAACACGTAAGTACCTCTATAATTTATGATGAAAAATGATTTTGATTATATTTTATATTATTTAATAGAGGTGGGCCAGTCTGCGATTTTTGTGGAGCTGCTACGCTCTGCGACTGCTCCAATAAAAGCACTGTGACAAGTAGCAGCGATTTTTCGGAGCAATTAACCTATAAATTAAAAATGTAGTTTTATAGGTTAATTGCTCCGAAAAATCGCACTCGGTGTTCGGCACCGTTCGTTGCATTTACTAAAAAAGTACAGGACTATAGGTGTGATTATGATAGGCAACATCATCGTCTACTTTTATTTATTTATATCGTATGATCGAAAAACGGCGTCAGCGATAGCTATGAAATGAAGATTGCTGGCATTTTATATGTAAAATTTATGGGGAATGTTATCGATTGTCATTTCCAAGCCAACTGGACGCCGTTTTTTATTTCGATCAGTAGTGGCGATTTTAACGTCTGTGCAATCGGGGTAAGTCACCGACGGGCCCCAAGCCTCCCGGGCCCTTGCGAACAAGATTCGAACTTTTCCGAACTACGGGCCCCTAGAGCTCTTAAAATCGCGGCTGTACGGTACTATACTGATGTCTTAGTTTGATAGATGTTGCTATATTTTTTTAGTCTATTCAGAAGAATTTGAGTGTTTCTAAGTACCAAGCACTTTGCTATAAATATCTTAAAGAGTCTGTTCATTTTCACAGAGTGGTGGCCCATGGTAAAAACTTAATGTTATATTCAATTCAAAGTCGAAACTGTCAAAAAAATCTTTATTAGTGACCGGTTTCGGCTATTTAGCCATCATCAGACCTTAAAAATAGATATAAATAATAAAACTTATATGAATGTATAAGATCAAATAAAAGATTTAGGATATACAACAAAACACAGATACAAAATTAACTAACAAATAAACATACTAACAAGTTAAAAATTACCTTTGTCAAAAACATCTGTTTGTGATTAATATATAATACATAAATATCTTATTTAGATTCATGAAAGAAAAAGCGAACGCTGCTACGTTTCCCGTTCCCAAACTCCCAACAGCTCCAGTACACAGAATATACTCAATATACTATGCTCCAGTCGACTGCGACCTGCGACGACTGTGACTGGAACAGTCTGACCGGGCGACGGGGCTAGGAGCATTTTCAGAATTTACACTATTGCCTGCTATTGCTCCTATTGCTACTCACGAGCGCAGATGTCCTAAACTTGTAAACTGCTCCGAAATGTCACTGCGATTTTCTTGGAACTGGAGCAGTCACATACTGCGACGTTGGTGGAGCTGTGACAAAGTAGCGGACAGCGATTTCACAACCCACCTCTATTATTTAAATACTTTCTAACCTCAAATAATAGTAAGATCCTTGTTTATATCGCACAGCCCGTTCAAAACTGTATTGTCTTCAAAAAATGTTTACAAAACAAACAATTATTAAAAAAACAATGTCCTTTTAATCTGATTTATACCTCAGAAGGATGCCAGTAAAATTTTATTAAATCAACATTATATTATTTGGCCGTTAATATGCAAAAAGGAGCATATTGCCTTAACTTAAATTTTCTTTTACTTCTGGTGACAATGTTCTCTATATTCTCTATTTTGAGTTAGTAAACTTTTGAACGGGATGTGCGATATATAAAATACATAATATATCCAAGGGTATGATCTGATAAAAGTATTTTTTGATGCATTTTTTGGTTGTTTATGCACGTTGGCTTGGTTTGTTTTATTCAGCTTATGTTTATTTGGTATAACAGTTTTTTTTGCCTTTGGAATGGCATGCATTGAGGCTAGATAGTGTTTCATTAGATCATTAAAGGAATTTAAATTAGCATATATTTTTTGTGATATTAGTGTGTTATCATGATACAGGTAGTTGTATCATAGTGCCTTATGCATGTTATTTACCTATTATATACTTATGTGATGTATTATCAGTAAAAAAGATGATAACATACTACTAAAATATCTTTTTAATAGTATGTTTATCTTTTCAATTCACTAGTTATTTGCAAAATGTATTTTGAACTAATTTAAGTCATTAATTGATCATCTTTCTTTTTCAGGTTCCGGGATATTCTTTTTCATTGTTAAAAAAACATATATATTTCAATAGTATTGTAATATAAATCGCAGCTCTAAAAAATAAATGATACTGTTTACTAATGTGTAATTTATTTACTATGAATTTTCTCTGAAAATAATAAGTCTTTAATAATATCATTGATTTGCTGTAAATGTGTAAATTTGTGTAAATGTGTAAATTTGTGTAAATTTAATAGACATATTTTTTACTACATTAAATTATATTAAAGTAATAAAAAATACGTTTATTAACTTTAAACAGTAAGTCAGTGATACTTATAAAAATATATTTTTTAAAAATTTCCCCTCTTTTAAGCCCCGCCCCTCCAATTCCCCTCAATTTAGCTAGTACTGCCAGGCGACACCAGGTGGCGTCTGTTTCCATTTTTTAACATGAAGTTAGCATTTCTTTAATGTACCTATTCTCTGGAGCTAATAATATAATATTGTCAAGAAAAATGGCGTATCCGCCAGAAATTAAAAATGTATTACTGGTTGCCTGCACAACCGCAACGTATCCGCCAGAAATTAAAAGACTTTTTCAGGCGCCATCTTTTAGTCAAGTCGAGAAGTAAGGGAATCAGACAATGGAATTGTCTGGTATGAAGAAGTACGCTTTCGAGAATTGGGGAAATTTCGAGAAGCAGTCAATAGAGTATATAAGCCGGAGCCATCGACAACTGAGACAGTTTTTGAAATTTGAATATACCGCGTGGAAATTGAAAATCGGACAATTTGGTGAAGGAATCTTATAAATAGTTAGTTTGTTGTGTGTTATAAGTTAGTAATTGTGTATAAAGTGAGAAAATAAATTTGTTAAGTATTTTATCGTGAGTTTAAATTAGTGGACCCACGGAATCCGTAACAATTGGTGTCGGAAGTGCGATTTAAGTGGATTTTGAAGATTTTACACCGAATTTGGGAATTTTTATGGTTGGTACGAGACAGCAAGCGAAGAAAATGGAAGAAGTAAGCAAATTATTGGGAGATTTTATGGAGAAATTAGAGAGAAAA